TAAGCAACTAATTAAATAAATTCATTTATTTTAATTTGCTATAAATTGTTATTAGCTTTTCATCCCTTTTTTTTTTCTTTTTCCTTCTCATTTTTTTTTTATTTTTTGCTTTCTGCAACATTTGTTTTTAAAAAATATTTTTAACATAATTATTAATTTCATTCATTTTCTCTTAGTGATCAGTCTGAAGAGAAAGTTTTTCGATAATTTATGACAATAATAAATAAAATTGCTTTTTTAAGCATTTTTTAAATTAGTTAAATCAGTTTAGCTCTTAATGTATCTGAGAGCTAATAATAATAAAATATTTTTAATAATAATGATAAAATACATGGAAGAATCATTGAATGCTACGATTATCATAAAAGCAGATTATTTAAATTTGTTTATCAAATTCAAATGCATTTTTATTTTGACTTTTCCTTTCTTAAAGTATAAAAATGAATTAAAAAAAAAAAGTTCTGTAAAATAGATCAAAATCAATTTGCTGTAAATTTATTCGTACATTTGTGAAAAGTTTGATGAATTTGGTAAATTTGATGAAATTAAATTCAAATAAAATTAAATAATATCTGTTTATATATCAAAGTATTTCACTTTTACTACTATCATTAAATAAAACTTAAAAAAAAATTTTTTTAATTAATTCTTTAAAAATTACCAATAGATTATGAATGAGAAATAAATTTTAGAAAAGCAATTGAGAAAAAAAAAATAAAATTTTACAAATATCAATGATAAAAAATGACTATATAGCAGTAAAAGATTTTTTTTTTTTAAAAAAAAAAAAAGGAGAGAGAGAGGGAGAGAGAGAGAGAGAGAAAAAAAGCAAATTGTTCCAATTGCCAAAATATTTTCTCCGTTTTTTTTTTTTTTCTTTCAAAAAATCAAAACTATTTCAGATTAGTTTTACTCAATTGCATAGTGATATTTAAGAGGAAATGCTCAATCATGCAGTTATAATTTATCAAAAAAAGAAAAAAGCTATGCTTCATTGAACAAAATAATTTAAAAAAAAAAAAAAAAAAAAAAGAAGAAGGAGGTATATTCAATGACGCGAAAATAATTTTTTTTTTTTTTGCAAAAAGAAAGTAATCGAAGATGAAAAATAGCATAAATACATTCATCAGTAATCGGACAAACTACAATTACATTCCTTTTTTCCGTTTTGTTATAAATGTAATTTCGGTTTTCAACAAATGGTATTATTCGGCATTCATAAATGTATACGATTAATCTGATCAAATAATTCAAACTTTAGAGTATGAGCGGAAAATAACAAATGCAAATTGCGCTTCTAATAAAAATGTTTATCCTAATCTTATGCATCATAAAAGATTAAATGTATAATTGGACTTTTCGTCTTCGTCTTAAATTTCCTACCTTTCTTTATTTCTTGTTGAGGAATGAGTCTTATCAGATATTTGCTTAGTTTGATTCTTTCTTTCCTTTTTTCCCTATAAATCACTCAAATAACTTTCCGCTTTAAATTTCCGCTTTTTTTTTTTAGCACTTTCAATTATTACGGTAGCTTTTCTTATGGTATAAGAAATATTTCCATGATAATAATAAATAATAATAATAATAATAATGGTAATAATAATAGTAATAATAATAATAATGATTTTCAAAAAAAAAAAAAATTTTCTTTTGGTTGTTTTTATAAATTTATTAATTTTCAAATTAATCTATTATTAAATTTAAGATGCAGTTTATTTTCAGTCAGCTTAAAGCATCCATTATTAATTTCAATTTATCATTGTTCTAAAGAATTGATAAAAATTATCACTGAGTAAATTTATGAAATTTTAATTTTTTTATTATTATCTCCTGTTTTCAGGTTATCTAACCTCGTATAATCTAAATTACACATTTCTAACCAATCACTTAGATCTGTATAATTAAAGAAAGTTCTGCAATTAAAAGTTTAGAATTAATAATCATTGTATGAAAGTTGGGCGCTTTTGTAAGACAATAAAATTTCAATTATATACTTACTTTTACAATTATATACTTAATATTATACTTACTTTTACTTTATTTTTTCCAGCGGAAGAAATAGATATTTCATTTTCATAAAATATCTGATAGTGAAATGTCATTGGTATATGGAAAAGCAATGGAAAGGTATAAAATTCTAATTTGTTGTTAAATTCAGGTGAATGAGTGGAAAGTTTTCCTATTTTGTAATACAGATTCTTTAACTGTTCCAAAAGATACATTAGCATATTTTTTTTTTTTTTTTTTTTTTTTTTTTGTAATTTGAATTTATAAGTAAATTTTGTGAAAATTTTAATAGCATAATTTAGGATATACTAAATTTAATGAATGATTTATTAATTTGAGAAAAATGATCAATAAACATTTCTAATATTATAAATAAAATTTTGATAGAATTTAACATTACTATGCTTCATTCAAAGTTTCATATTTACAATCAATGATTGTATTATTTTATTGATTATTGAGGAAATGATTAACAAAGAATTTTGTATGATTTGCATTATTTAGCTTTTTCTTTTATTATTAATAGATATAAGATGTATTTTAGAAGGTAAATATTCTCTGAATTCTAAATACATTTGCCTTTTATTTTAAATAAATATGTGCTATCTAATCTTTTAATTATGCCAATATTTTTTTAACAAAAATAAAACTGAGATTAAACAGAAATGAAATTCAGGTAAGAAAAATTAACATTGATTAAACAGAAATAAAACTGAGGTAATATAAATTAACATTCATTAAACAGAAATGAAACTCAGGTAAGAAAAATTAACATTGATTAAACAAAAATAAAACTGAGGTAATATAAATTAACATTCATTTAACAATGAAAAAAAGAAATGAAACTAAAGTAATATAAATTAATATTCAATTAACAGAAATGAAACTGAAGTAATATAAATTAACACTTAATTAACAGAAATGAAACTCAGGTAAGATAAACTAATAATCGCATAATTTCTGGCCAATAAACATGACTGACATTTTAAATGATTTGATCATTCATACATACTTATTTAAAATTTGTTTGACTTTGCTCCAATCTTTTATGATTTATAATTCAATTCCTAAATCGAAAAATTTATGAGCATTTTTCTGCATGGTATAATCAATTGTTTTATGTTCATGTCATATTCTTTTATTAGCTTACATACTATTTGTTATTGACACTTGTAGAAATTTATTAGGAAAATTTTGATGAAGTTGACACAAATGAATATGTTATGTGACATTTATATAACATTAATTTTTAATGACAATAATATATTGATGAATTTGTAGAGATATTATTTGTAAGCGTTGAGATGAAAGAAATAAAACTGATGTAATAAATACGAATTTAAATGAAAGCAATTGAAAGAGTGCGCAAAAGTAGTTGAATTGAAGCTTAATGATACTTCAAAAAAAAAAAAAAGAAACTGTGAAATTTTCTTTATATAATTTTTTATATAAAAATTTTAAAAAGTCAAAGAGCATTGTTAAAATAAGTAAAGCGTTGCCATCACATTAAATTGATTACTCATAAAAATGATTACACGATTGAAAGAATAGACAAATAATTTAGCACTGCAAATAGAATTGATTTAGATATTAATAGTAAAGTTGAAGGTAATTTTTAATAAATTAAAAAGCGCAAATATTCTGTTTTTTTTTTTTTTTTTTTTTTTTTTTTTTAAACTGTAACATTTTACACAATGAAGATAAGTTCAGAAATTGGAAGATGAGTGTTGGACTAGACAGTCACTAAAAAAAGTTTTATATTTGTTTGATATTTAAATATGATAATTTATAGTTTTATGATTTTGTAAGAATTTATTTCAACATATTATAATTTGGTTTTTCCAGCAGATTACATTATTCCAACATCTATTTAATCTGTAATATATTAAGTATGTAGATGAATGAATATTGTAATTAAACACTTTTTCATGCGATTTTAATTTCGATAGTTCTTTTCAATTATAGATGGAAAAGAACTGTCTATGATAGTTATTTTCGTTAAATATAAAACTAATTTTGGAAAACACTTTGTTTACTCATTGAGTTCACTCTTTATGTGAATGGAAAGGAATCTAAAAATTAAAGTATCTTAGACAGTGGTCACACATTAGGGCAGTCAAATGTCCAACTTTGTCAGTGACACTTTTTCATTTGTTTGTTTGTTTCTATACAATGTTGCATTGCCAATGTTTTGAATGTAAATTTGCTCAATTAAATTTCGCCACATTTAATCCTTTGTTTATTTAATATTCTAAATGACACGGTTAATTGTATATATTCTGTTCACTTTCCCTTTCTTACTTAAACAATACTTTCGTTTGTCGATTTAAACACATTTATTGTTACTGCGCCTTGTAAGAATGAATGGTATTTGAGTCTTAAATTAGAATGGGATCAAAATAAATTAAAAATGAAGAATTTAAAAATTTGCTTAAATTTCATTCTATTCGTTATAGAGAGTAAAAAATGTGCACAGATAAATTTTAATTGAAAATTAACTTGTTGAATAGATTGATGATTTGATGAGTTTTTCATTTTACTTTCAGCTAAATTTTGCACATTCAATTCATACTGTCCAGACTTTTCAGAAAAATTATTCCTTCGAAGTATAATACACTCCTGACCATCACTGACCTCTGACCACCACTAACCTCTGATCTTAAGTGAGCCATCTTATGGATGGATGCTTTATTCCTATAATTCTCCTCCAACTCTCTTAATTACACTTTCCTTAGTCTGAAGAGAGGATGGACAAATGCTGTAGGGCGGTAATGACCCGTAGAAGAACTATTTTCAAAAATAGGACAGATGAGCTCAAGCAGTTAGTCTTCCTTATTTCAAATTTTACCTCCGATTCCATAATTAAAAAGGAAGATAAAGAATTAGTGAAATACACAGCGATGCTACCACTACTTATTGAGAATGAGTAATTCAAAAGAAAGAAGCTAAAAGCGAAGGTATGTTTTATTTAAAAATCGACCTTGTATAAACAATCAGACAGAATGGTCACTGCTGTACGACCTTTTTCTGTGGTCAATGTAAAATTCGGCTGATGATGAACGTGCCAAAACGTTCAGGTCATTATTGTCACAACTGCAATATAATGCATATCGATAGCAATGTATAAAAGTGAAATTAACAAAACATTGAAAAATTTTATGAAAACGGAACAAACCAAAAGTGAAAAGTGTAAAGTAAATTATCAAAAATCTAACTTTCTACTATCTCATAGTGAAGGAAACTGACACGGATAATCTCGGATTTATTACAAAATCACGCAACCCATCGATTTGGCGCAAATCATTCTCGACCGCTCTGATATCACCATTAAAAGAATCGTGGAAAATGCAACCATTCTCAGTTTGAGTCCAGTTAATAAAATAGTTCCATTTGGTTGAAATTAATAATTTGGGTCGTTTCAAATTCAAGCGTCGCAGATTTTCGACATTAACCTAAAAATCATTTTCAGAATGTTTGTATACCTATCTGTCACAACTGATTGCACAATTTTCGGAAAGCGACAAAGTTTGTTGACAAAGTTTGTCGACAAAGTTCGACAAAGCAGTTAAAGTTTCAATTTTTTTTCTTTTTAAAATAACGTCTCTCAGATATTTCTTAAGTTTTTCTGCCATCAATTCAACGATCCTCAAAAATTTTTTTCGATTGACGATACCTTATTCCCATGAAGTATGAGGAGGCGTAAATCTGGTAAATTGCGGTCATCTAGATTATCCCAGACTTCATCTTTATAATGATCGCCGAAATTGCTTAGATCCAGAAAAAATAAGCGTCTGAAATACAGTTTTCCTATTGCAATTATTATTTAGCTTCTCATATAAAAAAATTTAATAATGTCGTGGAATAAAAAGAGCTGAAACATGAACTAAAGCTAAGTCTTTGAAAGTTAAATGAACTCTCTCTCAAAAAAAAAAAAAAAAAAAAAGAAAAACCAGAAAAAGTAGCATTCTGATAAGATCATAAAAAAAAATTACTTACTTAAAATTACTAACAATGAAAGGCATAACTCCATCATTGAACGGTAAATAATCATTGAATGGCAAACCAAGTGTTCTCAAATTTGGACAACTGCAGTGATTTATATCTTATTATTGCAATATAAATTCATTAACTATTTGCTAATAATGAATTACTTAAAAAATATTGTTCGTTCATTCTCCATTAGATATAAATATTGAAATATTTATATACAAATGCATTTTTTACAGGAAATTAACTCACTTCTGATCAATGACTCTAAAAAGATCGACCGTGCCTTCCAAGTAATTTGAGATTACTAAATGCTTAAGTTTATATGGGAATGACTTTTCAGGTTCATTCTGTGGTAAAGTAAATAGTGTAATCAACCCTTCGGGCGTAACATTACAATCTTGCCCACCAAACCATACCCGTAGCTCTTCTAAGTTGTACAAATTCTGCAATATTCAAATAGTTTAGTGAACCGAAATAATTTTTCATGCACATTTTCATAATGACTACTGTAAAATTGATGCTCAAAACATAAAGAATTAAAATCATTGTATTATCGTACTTGTACTGAAATATTCATAAATATTAAAGTATTTTTCAATTTCGAAAATATCGGATCAAATTAAATTCAGAACAAATAGAGAAGACTATGCATTGAAACAAACAATTTATCCGATCAAATTTTTTGTAAAGTTGGAAGATGAAGCATTAGTTCACACAAGTTGAAAGACTACAACGTCATCAAACTTTGATATAATTCCTAAAGATATATACTGCTAAATCTATATATATATATATATATATATATAGATAGATAGATAGATAGATAGATAGATTTTTACTGCACAACTCTTCCAATATCATTTTTCTTACCTTTATATGCGCAAACTCTTCATCGAAAGTGTAGAGACTAAGACCCCATGAAAATACTTTCAAACTATGCAAATGACCAATGTACTCAATGCCATCATTTCTAATATAAGATCCAAGATGAAGTTCGGTAAGAGTATACCTCCATGGAGAAACTCTAATCATGCTGAAACTGAAAAGCACTGATATTAATAAATATATTCACAATATTACCAAAATAAAACAGCTACAATGAATCAAGTAACTTAAAACTGAACAATCAAACAATAGATTTCTTGAAATCTTGAATTATCATTGCTGATACTTATTACGATATCATATGAACCTATAAGACTGTTTTCAAAAAAGATTCAACTTGTGAGTAATCTGTACTAAGAGAATTTTAGAGGAAAATAAACTTACTCAATGTCAGCTACTCCATCGTAAATATGTAATAAATTCAGCGGACGTTTATAAGCAGGCAATCTTGGATCATTTTCTGAACTGTATACACTTACATTACCAACAAAGAAATTTCTCACTTCTGGGAAAATGTTTTCATCTTCAAATAACATTTCCAACGTCTTTTTCCATTCGTCTGGACTATCAGACCCTGGACTCTAAAAGATAAGATACGCAAATCATGAATTATCATTGCTGATACTTATTCATCACAAATCAAAACTGTCATTAATAAATGAAATCCGAACTGTAAAGTTAAATAGTAAATATAGTAAAAAATCAACTACTCAAACAGCAATAAGAATAACCAATAGAAACTGTGATAGATTAAAAAGGTGGTAATGAAATATTTCATTAAATTTATAATATCAAATCATACTTGTCTCACTCTTTCCATGTGCAAAGTTTTAACATTCGGGAAGCTATTTGATAATTTTGTCAATAGTGTAGTATTCATTTCTGCAAAACTTGTCATTTACAAGGAAGAATGGTTAAATTTAAAAAAATCAATCTATAATAAAATCTCTTGATTTAATTTTACTTTAATTTGTACCCTTAAATGAGCCAATATCGAGATGGATTACATTAGGAAAACAAATATCGAATAATGCGTTCACTTCGGTGGATGGCAATGGTACAGAACAATCAATACACAATTTTCGAAGATACTGCGAAGTCTGAAAACGTATAAAAGAATGAATACTAGTTCATTAATTAGCAAAAATTAAAAATAGAAGAGAAGTAAATTCAAAAAAAGACAATTTAAGACGATAGGACTATCCACCAATAAACTACGATATATTATTAGGCATAAAATCATTTGCTAAAAAAACTTACCCTATAGAAGAATGATTTCACGCTACCATATTTCAATGAATTATCGTTAACTAATACCCGAACTTCGGTGAAAAAAGTGGAATGATTGGCCAAATAATTCCATCGATGACATACCAATGAGAAACAATGAATCAAATCAATCGGATGACAATAAGCAAATATTGTCAACAATATATCATTTGACAAATCGTTAATTGTAGTATGCGTTACCTTAATGAATTCTGAATCGGTCGTTATCTGGTCAATTTCCATTTCACTTCCGGTCGAAATCTGAAATTTTTCCTCTTTATTCTTTTATTGAACAATGAAATATAAAGGATAGATAGAAATGAAGTCTAATTTGCTGCTTCGATATTTAAAAATCAATCACTTTGGACTTCCGATTCTTGCGTCGAGTAGCTGAGTATGAGGAACGACCAAGTTGTACCAATGGATAGTATGTTTGCAGTCGATAAACACGAGTCCTAAAATTAACAAAGAATCAGATAAAATTATTTTAGAAAGTTTACAATTTGATAACAATAAATTTTATGAAAGATTATTATTTTTGAAATAAAAATTTCTGCTTCTAGAAATCTCTTCCAACATCTTTGATACTTCAAAAACTTTTACCTCTCTCTCTCTCTCTCTCTCTCTCTCAAAAAAAAAAAAGGAAAAAAGACTAAAACTTACGCTTCAAAAAATTTATATCTTCTGTCTATCGTGTCATATTTATGCGACAAGGGTCGATGTCGCCCAGGTGATTCTGTTATTGCATCCATTCTAAAAGAAAAAAAAAAAAAAAGTTTATATGTAAAAAAAAATAAAAAAAATAATTTATTAAGAAATCGTTATTGAATTATCATCATACCTTAAAGATAATAATTGTTATCTTTGGGCACAAAGGTCACTAAGAAAAACAAATGAATGAAAAGATTTCATACGTTCAGAATGGAATAGCGCGAATTTATAGTGCATAAAGGACAGGAATGACATATTTGACACCCGATTATGACCATTAGTTTACTCATAAAGAGGTGCTCAATAACGATTGTAGCACTAAATAGTTTTCAAAAATTAAAAAGAAAAAAATTAATAAATAAAATAAAATGAAAAAAAAAAAAAAAAAGAAATTAAAAATGAAATGAATTTGCGAGGAAAAAAAACAAAAATTATTCATAAAACATTTAAGGAAAAAACGGTTGAATATACTTTTTCTTTTGAAGAAAGTATATTCAACCGTTAACTGTGACCCGCTGAAAATCTTGGAAAAATCAGCCATCTAATGATAAAAATTAAAATCTAAACGTATTCAAATTTCATATTTATTCCTTTTAATCTGAAATCTTAATTAAAATTTTTGTTTTTTACCATTATCATCATTTATTATTATTATTATTATTATTATTATTATTATTATTATTATTGTTATTATTATTACTATTATTATTATTATTATTACTATTATTATTATTATTATTATTATTATTATTATTATTATTATTATTATTATTATTATTATTATTATTATTATTATTATTATTATTATTATTATTATTATTATTATTATTTATTATTATTATTATTATTATTATTATCATTATTATTATTATTATTATTATTATTATTATTATTATTATTATTATTATTATTATTATTATTATTATTATTATTATTATTATTATTATTATTATTATTATTATTATTATTATTATTATTATTATTATTATTATTATTATTATTATTATTACTACTACTACTATTATTATTATTACTATTACTATTATTATTATTATTATGTATTGTTATTTATTACTACTATTTACAATTGTTTACTATTATTTTTTATTGTTTATTTTATTACAATTTATTAATATTTACTACATATTGACGGATGCTCACGAATTCTATATTTACCTGTACTGATTATTTCAAGTGTATTGAGCATAATATCGTATGTCATACTTGTAGTAAAATATGATAACGATGATATTGATATTCTGATATAAACAAGGAATTACTTATTCAAGTGATCATCTAAGTTCTATAAGTTGATATTCACGAATGTTCATTTTTTAGCAAGAATCTAGATAGGAATGTTGTTAGAAGAATTTTTTCGTAGTAATATTAATTTAGGTTTGAGTAAATATAGGTAAAGTAATAATGAAATCAAATGAAACAGAAATAAATTTATTACAAATGCACATCATTTTATACATTTAAAAATATTTTACCAATTGTTTGACTGATTTTAATATTTTTTTCTTCTTAACTAAGCAATATTTACCGATGAAAGTGATTATAATTAACTGGCTTAATCGAAACATCTATCAGAAAAAATTCAAATATACACTTTATCATTCTGTATAATATTTTTCAATAAAAGAATATTGTTGCCTATGATGAAAAAGAGGAGAGAGAGAGAGAGGGAGAGAGGGAGAAAGAGAAATACCTTATATTACCTTTTTAAGGAATAATTTAGGAAGGATTAAATTGGTTTTTTTATGTAAGATAAATAAAAATTTGTTGAGGAAAATTGCCCATTTTCATTCATATATATATATATAACAGAAAACAGAGTAATGTATCATAGTAATGCTAGGAAAAGTATTGTACGGCTTACTAACAATCATAATAAAATAAATATTTTTATATCTTCCAACAAAGTTTCATACCTTATGATTGTTGGAATGTAATCGATAAGAAAATGTACGAAATTATTACTACCTTACGTGATGCCACGTGATAATACACGAGGATGACATAACGCCACGTGATAATACACGAGGAGAATAATCATCTATCTGGTTTAAGCTCCTATTGCTCAATTGCAATAAATTAATTACGCATATTCATATTAGCTTCTAAATTTTGCTAAAATTTAAGATGTACAATTTATGCAAAATTGAATAAAAGAAAAAAAAAATTTACAATATAACGGAAAAATGGATACTTTCATAAGCACACATATAAGAGATCGGCCTGAACTCCAATATGATAATTGCATGAAATGAAACTTACAAGGGAAGGATGAGGAAATTTTGAGTAAAGGATGAAAATGGAATGCATTGTTTGAGAAATTTAAATAAATGAGAGAAATTTAAAAATACCGAATGGATTATGGGTGAGAGAGAGAGAGTTAATTTCTATATTTTGTGTATATATTACTCATATAAATTTTAAGTGTATTTTCTGCAAAATTAGCAATTAAAAATTTCATAAAAATTCCTAAAAATTATATTTGTTGATATTTTGTTAGCTATTCAAGCCGTCATTTACTGCTAACAATGAAACGATGTGACAAAAAATCAAAATCATACTACAGACAAATACAGTTTAGTTGTAGGAAAAATCAATAAATAACACTGATTTAAATTTGAACGTTAGTAGCAAATAGAGATTTCAAAAAAAAAAAAAACGAATTGAAATCCATAAAAAAATTAACATTTCAATATAACTGACCTATCATGCAATGAACGTTGACCATGATATGAATGAAAAAAAAAAAAAGAAATCTAAAGTAAGTATTATAAGAATAGAAAAAAGTCAATGATACTACTAATCATCATGATCAGTGATACTACTAATCATCATAATCAATGATACTACTAATCATCATGATCAGTGATACTACTAATCATCATAATCAATGATACTACTAATCATCATCATCAATGATAACTCTTTTACAGTTCATAAATTAAACATACTGTACAAAATAATTAATAATGAAAGAAAAAAAAAAAAAAACAAATTAAATGCCACAAATATAACAGGATAAAAAAAGAAAAAGAAAGAAAAAAAAAAAGAAAATTGAAGATCTGCAAAAAATGAAATTAATAAAAATGGAAGATTTCATAGTGAAGCACCGCAAAACAAGAAATTATCCATAAGGAATCAACCAAAATGATTCACTGATATTGTATTATGAAAACTTGGTTTAAAAAAAAAAAAAGAAAAAAATACTAAAATTTAAAGCTGTCCTATCATCATCATCTTATGGACAAGAAACCTTACTTCTTTTAATTATATCAAAAAAATGATTTTTTTAAAATATGAACTAGATTTCAAACAGTGATTTTAATAATTAGTAAATTAAAGACTATAAAATTCAATAAGTGATAAAGACTATAAAATCCTTTTTGAAAGAAATGAAATCTTCATAGTAAGATGTATCAAGATTGATATTTTGTTATGGTATTATCATATGAAACAATAAATGATTGAAAAATGAAGAGCATTTTCTTTTTTTTTTTTTTTTTTAACTATTCTTCATGGAAAGATTGATAAAAGTTGAAGTACCACCGCTACTCATATTTGTTGCATCGATGTCATTCAATGTCCATTCACCATTACCACTAAGATGTAACTCTACATCATGATATTGCCTTAGCGAAAATCGATGTCCTATTGAAACATATGAAATACGCTCCTGAAATTAACATTTCAATTAATATTTCAAAAAAAAAAAAAAAACGCATTCTTAACAAAAGCTAAATTTATTGTCAGTTATGAGATAAAAATTGAACAATTTTGTGAATATTTCCAGTATCAAAAAGCTATCAAAAGTGAAAAAAATTTCCACAGATAGAGAGTAAAAGGTATTTGCTAAACATAAAAAAAACCTCTTTCATCAAACGATATAGTGACATTTCCATCTCAAAACCAATAGCACTTGTTGCTTCATCCAGAAATGCTATTCGTGGTCGATGGTATAATACACGACCTATTGAAAGCCTTTGCAGTTCACCGGGTGACAATGTTTCAGACCTAAATTTAACACTAAATCAAAATTGAAATGTAAATTATAACTTTATCAAGGAGAATTCATAGCGATGAAGATAAACTAAATCTAGTGATTAGCTAGAAAAATGCATTATATTAAATCTTTTCAAAACCAAAACCGTAAAAATAACACTGTAAATTACTTACCAATCCCATCCTACTGGTGTATCTAAACCATTACACCGTTGTAACAAATGCTCTAATTTGATCCATTCCAGAATTTGAGCTAAACGAGCTGCTTCTAAAAATTTGTATTCAGAATGAAAGACATACTATTTTCATATGATAATTAAACAAATTATATGATAATAATTGAACTTAAAATGAATGTTTTGTTAACTGTTACCAGAAACCAATCTCACTGATCATTTAAAATTATATCGGTAAAATCTGATTATTACTTTATTATTACTTCATTGATAGCAATAACGCACCTTTTTCAAGAGATAAAGCTTTTAGTGGATAAACCAATTGCTGACGCAAACTACAGCCACCATTTGGAAAATAAGTTTTCTGAGGCACAAAATATAATGTCATTGGACTCATTTTCCAATGTCTTTCTAGTTTTCCTGAAAATCAAAAATTCCAGAATTCTGTTTCAGTAATTTCAGTAATCAAAATAGCTATTGGTAAGATGAAGAAGGAAGAAGCAAAATATAATATTCAATAATAATAATTACATCTCATTTTTTCTACAAAGAAAAAATGGTTCTTTTATTTTATAGCTCAATGGTGGATGAAATTAAAAACTAACCAGTGACACATTTCCAAAGTCCAGCAAATACTCTCAACAGTGATGTTTTTCCAACACTACCATCACCAGTTATTAGCAAATTTTTGCCCTCAACAATTTGCAACGACAAATCTAGAAATAATTTTGACTAGCTGGAAGAAAAAGCAAATTATTCGAGTAAAAAATTCACTCTATCAACGATTTGAAAGTATTTAAAAAGGAAAAAAAGAACTGAATATGCCTTTCGTATGCGCAAATTAATCAAATTCAAGTTTTTATAACAACTGCCCATCTAAGGCTCGCTAGGCTTAATAAAAATGCACAAAAATATTCATCCATCCTTTTCATCTTCATCATTACTATCATTTAATTAGCAAATCACAAAAATGAAAAAAGTAGTAGTTAATTTTACTCGAGACAAGAGGTGCCGATGAATCATTCGGAAATGCAACAGTAACTGAATCGAGAGTCATCGCAATGCCATCATCAAGCCATTCCGGTTCTTCTCTGTCACGACTTTCATCTGCTCTGAAATCATAACATTCTGAATATAGTAAAATAAAACTAGAAATTAAGAAGGATACTGTAATTCAATTCAGACCTTCAAGTATTCGAATTTTGAGAAACTTGAGAAATGTGGTAACAAAAACCAGATAAAAGAAAAATTACTATCTTTCATACAGGAAAAAGTTTCACCGTTGCAACAAAAATTCAACTTCTTCATCGTCTGGTTCAAGTTCAAATAAGTGGCCTTGTTTACCATACAATTCTTCTATCTGTAAATAATTATTTTTTAGTAATTATTGCCAATTTAACATTTTCTTTTAAATAATATTTACTGAAGTGAATAATTTTTGTTCTGAGTAATTTAATGTGGATTCTTGGATTTGTACCGATAAATTTAACAAATTTACCTTCCTCTCTGGCACTACATTCGGTTTTTCTGGATCTTCTGAAGCAAGAACTACCACCGAGGATGGAACTGTCGATGGTGGACGATCCATTTCAAGCCTATCAATATGTAGTCTTACCAACTCTTCATATAGTCCAATTATTCTGCAAATATATTTATCTAATCATAGAACTCGACAGCAATAGTATGTAGCATAAAAAAACACAAAAAAAAAACCGGAAAAAACATTCGGTAACCTACCGATGGGTTACACCGGCCATATCGCCAATCACTTCCGAAAGTGCATTTAAACGAGTGAAACTATAGATGAGATACAAGTAATAAAATGCATTCTGTAATAATATCTCAATAATTTCTTTTTTTTTTTTTTCAAAATAACAACAAAAAAAGATTATGCAAATCAGAAGTGAATAATCAATCATACTTTCCACCATTCATAACCCCCCCTCCCTCCCCTCCCCAAATCTTTTGAATCAATTTCAAAGTTAAAGTAACATTATCGCTGATTACTTTTCCAGTAATTTTATAATCTTATCCAATTAATGACTGTCTTGCTCAGAGTTTTAACTTGAAAAAAAAACACTAAAAACTTTGAAGATCTAAAAAACACGTTCAACAGATTCTAGTAATGCAAAAAATAAACAAACAAACAGGCAAAAGAAAACAAAGACAACAAAAAAAAAAAAAAAAGAATTTATGTTTATCATTCACCCGACTAATAATGCCAGAAAGTTCAATTCCGGATAAATCGTCATAATTGTGTGTTAAAAATATCGGAATTGAAATAATCAAATAACTTAATGTTCCGCCAAAATAATCGAAAGCGCTTGTTGCTACTGAAATCATAATTAAGTAATCGCTGTACATTTTATTAGTGAAATTTTGTGAGCATTTAAAATTTGAATCTTGAATAATTCCATGAAAATTAAGCCAGATTTGAAGAAATAACTAGTTTTTCAATTATTGCAATCTTTCTCCTAACGTACCAAAAAATTATTCCGGATAATGTTGAGCAGTTAAGTGTCAAAATTACAAAATATACTAAAAAATATTACTAGAAATGATAAATTTATACTTACAGCTCAATGCAAAACGCCATTCGACTAATTTATTTTGCACTTTAATTAGTGATTTCAATTTTTTGTTTGTCATAACATTTTCAATCAGTCCTGATTGATAAAAAGCAATTGATTCAGCATTTGTACGTACTTCAACATGACGTAACCTTTAAAAAAAAAAAATGATGAGATATCGTGACACAATTAATAAAATTTTCTTTAAAGTTTTTTTTTTTTTCTTTCATTCAAAAAAAAAAAAAAAGTTATTTGATCATTCTTTATATGTCAGCTCTTTATTTTCTTAAATACATAATTCGAGTGTAAAAAAGAGAACAGTCAAAATTATAATATGACATTATCTTATAACTAGTATATGCAAAAATATGACGTTCTAATTTTATCTCGAATTTGCAAAAAATTTTAAGAACGAACAAAACAAGAGTTTGTAATGCAAAGAATTTTATGAATTTATAACTGATACTTGCAAATTTTTTTTTTCTTTTTTCTTTGTAAAAATGGAGATGCATTAATATTATGTAAATTATCAATTTTTACTGATCTTTAAGTATAAGTATAATAGTCACATTACATTTGCTCTACGACAATATATCAATGTAAATTCGTGACAAGAAAAAAGAATGATAACATAAATCATTTTAGCATTTGATATTGTCTTTATTCTCTAAGATTTTTTTTTTTTAATTATGATCAAAATTTCGAGAAGCTTACCTGAAATCACCTTCCTTCTTCTCTTGCTCATTAACCAACAATACAATTGGAGACAGTAAAAGTCGATTAATCACAGTAGCTAACGTGAAATAAGCATAAATTGTTAATGGCCCAAGATATCCCGAACTAAAACTTATATACAATAATATTTGATCGTAGCATGATCCTAACTCTATTACTCTAAATAAGGAAACAAACAATACTATAGTAATAGTAATTAACAATACTTCTTTATTTATAAATAATAATACAGTAATTTTAAAGTGTAATGCTTTTTATAGCTTTTCCTTGATTTTCAGGAAGCCGAATTAAGAATATAAGAAAATTTATAAAATCAGCAAATATTCCTTTACATTGCTTTCCTCAGTATTTATCAATAATATGCATTTCGTATTTTTTTTTTAATATTCTTTCAAGAATTATTATTTGTACAATAATTGAAAGCTGACCTTTCATATGTTAAGAAAGTATAATATCCTATAACAAACGGTGCCATAAAAACTGGTGCAAATAATTCTTGCGCTAATAATTTTGTCGCTTTTTCAACATCCTGTGTCATACGTTGATCACTGTAAAATGAATTATTTCTATCAATGTATAATTATCAAATAAATTACAGGTAACAAATAAATTCTAATTTAATATCTAACATTTAGAGAATTGTAACATAAAATAAGTTATTATCCTATAGGGAAATTTATAAAAAGACAAAGAAGACAAAAAAACAAAAAAAAAAAAACAAAAAACAAAAAACAAAAACAAACGGATTATCAAAATTATCACTGAGAACATTTAAGCGATAATAGCCTTGTCGTTTAAAATACAAGCGATGCAGTGTAAATCCAGTAGTTTCACGAAATTTTAAAAATAACTGCGCTGCCATATATTTTATAGCTGATAACGTCTGAAAGATTATATTCTATATTTTTTATCAATACATTATAAAATTTCAAATGAAACTTATAATTTCAAAAAAAAAAAAAAAAAAAAACAATGGAAATTAATAGAACAATAAATGATATAACTATCAATGAGATATGATTAAGTTAAACTTAGTTTACTATATTTGCTATTGGATCATTTTGATTATCACTGATTGCGTTATCATTTAATGATTACATATGCATCATTTATATCAAATTTCACAATTAGATAACAATCAAAACGGATGTGTTTGTGTTTCTTTAGATAACAATGATGATGACAAATGTGTGATGAGAAGATTAAAGTTCTCTAATTAAATATACTTTAGCTAAAAGTTTAATCAATAATTCTATCTGATATTATGATAATAATATAAATTAAACATCTATATAAAATTTTAATCTGTTGTTTACAAGAATGATAATTTGAATTGTTACTAAGTGAACAACTCATTTAAAGCATTAAATTTTGCATATGTTAAATTAAAAATTGAAAACTACTTATTAAAAGAACAATGATAACTTTCAAAATTCAAATAACACTGTGAAAAATGTTTACCGAAGCTTTCGACAAAATAATTAAAGTTGCTTTAGCAGCAAGCACTCGAAATGTTTCAATATCACGATTACCAAGTGCAACATAAAATTCACTTGGTAATACACCCACAAAATAAGTTGCTACTTGATCTGAAATAATACAAAAAAAAAAAAAAGAAATTTTCATAAAACCATTTCACATTCAGTGTCTAAAGGAAAAAAAAAAAAAAAAAAGGATATCATTGTAATATTAATAGCTTTTGAAGATTTAAAAAGAATTTTTTTCTTTTTTGTTCTCAAAAATCATCCTAATTCTAAATATTTTTAACACAAAAAAAAAAGTCATTGACAATTTTATTTTCATTATTAAACTGAAAATTTTATATATTTAAATAATAATTACCTGCAATAGAAACAACAATAACACATACAGCAATAAGAAATGAACTCGGTATTATTCGACATCGTGAAAATGGAAAAACTATTTTAAGCAACGTATAGGTACGTTTGAAAAATAGTAAATCAATGGAGAATTTTCGAATAGTCATTGTCGCAGCATACAAATAATGAATATTTGCAAATTATATGACTAAAATCTAAAATGAAATTTATTACTTTATATAATACTTTGTTATTTAGATAAAAAAAAAAAATATGAAAAATTATAAACTATTGGTTATGTTCAACAATTTCGAGATAAAACTATCTACTTTAATGCTAAATATTAACACAATTAATAGCAAATCTGAAAAGCTCAATTTTGTTTTCTGAATTTTTTAAATGTCTATTCTCTATGATTGTATCTATCTTATCGTTTCATTTCTTCATACTAGCAAATTTTAGCATTAATTATTGTTTTTACAAATAATATTCATATTTTTTGCATAAATTTAGATAATCAGTTTATTTGTATAAATTTAAACAAACATATTATTTCAATTATTTTCAAATTTTTCATTGAAACATTTTTCAATATTAAACGTTAAAAGAAACCATTAAAAGATGATAATAAAAAATTCTTATTATAAAAGAGATATTAGTATGTTCAACAGTGCGTTTTTAATATGTGACATAAAGTTATTTTTTTTTTTTTTCTAATAATCAAATTCTGTTCTATGATATCATGAAAAATGTCATTTTATAATTTATAACTTACATACATATGAAAAACGAAAAGAAAAAAGAAAAAAATTAATACTTTCCTGTAAAATTTCTAAAACTTTTCTTGCTATTACTTTTATTTTTTTTTTTTTTTTTTTTGAAATAACTATGCTTTATATACATACACTCATTTCATTGTAATATTACAAAAATGAACATTTTTACGCTATTTCATGCTTAATCATCATTATCATCATCATTATTATCATGATATCATAGAATAGAATTCGATTATTAAGAAAGAATAATTTATGCCATATATTAAAATTTTATGATTTTAATGAAATAATAAAAGAAGTAAAGTGATTAAAAACTTAGATCACAATATGCTTCATATATGCTTACCATGCCAAAGATCAATTTTGAAAAGAATGCTAATATCGGATGAAAATTCTTATAATGGAAAATTTTAAAATAGAAACATTTCAGTTAGACAATTGAAAATAATATGAATTCTTTAGAAATAAAATCTAGTTGAACAATAATTTGTTAAATGAATAGATATTACTAAAAAAAAAAAAAAAAACGAGAAAGACAAATTACAACAAATTAATTTGAATGCTAAGTAGGAAAAAAAAAAAATGCAAATAAATGTGCAAAAAATAGGACAAATGAAGCTTTTTTCTCATTAGAAATATAGTTCGTTTGCTTCCCTTCATTATTCTTTAACTAAATTTATGATTTCTGATCTTTTAGAAAATGAAATAAATTCAAAAAAAAAAAAACATTAGTTTATTTATGTTTTCATGAATAAGCTAAAGAAAACGAACCTTCTTTGTTCAAAAAAAAAAAAAAAGAAAACTTTTTCCTTTTTCCTTTTTTTGGGAAACAATTTCTTTCTTTGAAACAGTTTCCTTCGTTTTATTTTTCATTATTCCAAACAAATTTTTTCGTTTTTTTCGTTTTTTTTTTTTTAAAAAATCAAAAGAAGAATTATCATTAATTTATTGAACAATTCAAATTTAAAAATGCTATCAATAATTGAACAACAATAGAGCTATATTATGCTACAAAACTCATCAAAAAGGAGAGATGATAATGAAAGATGCTACGATCAAACATTAATTGATTCAAAATGTCAAATGATTGATCCTTCATTATATTCGCATAACATTGTACAATAGTAACTTGTCAAAAAAAAAAAAAAAGTAAATGACAGATCAGATTATCACAAATTGATAAATATCTAGTAATAATACATAATAACTTTCTATCTAACAATGATACATAAATGATCATTAATTGATCAAAAGTTATTAATTATTTCTCATAAAGTTATTAATTAATTCTCATATTTCATTTCATTCTTATTTTTTCACTTCTTTACCACTCACTCATTTTGGTGTATTTTCTTTTTTTTTTAAAAAAAAAAAAAACAAAAACAAAAAACACTCATCCATCAATCAATAAATTAAAATATATTATTAAATCAAAACAAAGATATGAAATTTATAAATCCATAATTCACTATTCACTGCTTCTTCTTTTTTCCTTTCTTTCTTCTTACATTTTTGAAAATGATTCATTAATCATTCTCAATTTTTTTTTTTTTAACTCTATGATAAAATTATTATCTTCAGCTACAATAAAAATATTTCACTTAAATTTTTAGATGATAATAGATCAAGATAAGCCAATGAAAGCTATATATATATATATACATTTTTGGTCAATCAACCTAGAATTGATCAGCTATTTCGTTCCTTCTCATTTTCATTCTTCTTTTCTTTCTCTTTTTTTTTTTCATTCATCCTTTCTAATTGTCTCTTTTATCCATCATTCATTCTTCATTTATGTCATTTCATCGAAATCATTTCGACAAAAATTATACTACTACTACTCCTCCTCCTCCTACCAGATGGCCTCATTCTTCAAAAGGAAAAAAAAAAAAAATTTTTCTACACGTAATAGCCAGCTGTCGTACCGTTAATATTTTATTTCACTTTTTTTTTTTCATAATATGTTTCTCAAGCATAACAATTAGAATTATAGGAAATAAATTTTTCACATTTCTTTTTCTTTTTTTTTTTTTTAGTTTATAGCGAAAGAACAATTTTTTTTTTTTTTTTTGTTCCAAAATAACAATTTGCCGACATCGTACCACTCTCTCTTAGACATCTAACAAACTATACAAAAAAAAAAAAACGAATTTGAAAAATTAATTCCATATTTTAAAAAACGAATTATTTGTATTATCAATTCCTCCTTATCCTTATTTATCAAATGATGATCAATCGAAACTAAACAAATTCGTCTGTTTCAGTCAGTAGTTATAGCAGACAAAAAAAAAAAAAAAAAAAAACAATTCTAAATTGTATTGATTTTACATTTTGGACGCATGTATGATTCAATTTTGGCAATCTTTTTTGACAATTTTCAAAATTCTATGTCTCCATTCTGTCAATAAAAATTGCAAACTGAAACAAATTTAATTATCTTATATATTTTACTTCATTTATGATTATTTATACTCATTTCTCATTTCACTTCAACAAAAACGCTTATTCAAGAAATCTAATTATGACTTAAAGCATAATTGAATCTTTTGCAAAAAAAAAAAAGAAGAATCAATAACTTGCAAAAAAAAGTAAAATCCTTGCTTATCTAATGATTAAAAAAAGTTCAAAAAAAAAGATATTGATATAAAGTAATGAATTGTTTGTATTCTTTTGGCAATAATCATTTGATGTATAAAAAACATCAGCTAATATTCATATTTGTGTTGTTTAATTATTCGATTGAAATTTGAAATTTAAAAAAAAAAAAAAAAAAAAAAGATATATATATTAGTAAAAATACAAGATCTCGTCAAATATGATAGGATGAAGTTTGTTTTTTTTTTTTTTTTTTGTTATGTAAATGTGAAAATATTTAAAAAGATATATATATCAGTAAAAATACAAGATCTCGTCAAATATGATAGGATGAAGTTTGTTTTTTTTTTTTTTTTTTGTTATGTAAATGTGAAAATATTTTTCAATTTTTAAGGCATTTTTTTTTTTTTTTTTTTTTGCATCCAATAATTTTCACACTAAAAAAAAATGCATATATGGCACATTGCGAACATTTTATCAATAATGAGAAAACGAATTTTTTCAGTCAAAAAGTCTGACATAGAATATCAATAAGCATTTGTTGAATTCTAAATATGAACAAAATTTTTTTATATCAAAAAGTAGTTTTGTATTAATTGCCTTCTCACATTATTTTATTTCATCTCATTTTCCTAATGCAATTTCAATTTGTTATTTAGAATGAAATAAATAAAATATTATATAATTCATATATATTATATCTTATATATTAAATAAAGTATTATATCTTATATTACTCGAAAAAAATTAAAAATTGCAGGAATATTATAAAATTATTATTCAAAAAAAAAAAAAAAAAAAAGCTTTTAACAATAACAGAGTTATTATAATATAATATTAATTCATTAATTTCTTACCAAATTTGCTTAACAAATTATTCCATTCATAAAGCGATGATTGCAATTTGCGATAAAAAACATTTGCTAAAAAAACTCTAAAATAAAAAATTACAAATTAAAAAGTTGAAATATCCATGTGACTTATATGAACTAATCAAGTTGTATTCCATTAGAATAAGTTCCAAAATTATAAGAAAAAATAAATTTTATTAAAATAAAATGAAAAAATTTTTGAGTTACCAATTTTCAACTTAAATAATCTCATGGGAAAAATGAAAGAAACTGATCCTTTGTTTAACCAATCATAGTGAATTAAAGCACAGCTATAGCATATATTTAATTTTCATTTTGACATCCGATAACGCTCAATTCCCTCCCTCCCTCTCTCTCTCTCTCTCTCTCCTCTCTCTCTCTCTCTCTCTCTCTCTCTCTCTCAGTGTGATCATTTTCATTCTAAGGTCCAAAAATCAAAAATTCTCATACTTTAAGCTAAACTATTTCCTTAACAAATCGTAACTGAAATTTAAACATTCTATGAGAAATCTTATATTTTAAGAATAATTTTAAACTTTTTGAATTTTCTAGCTAAATTTCTTCGAAAAAAAAAAAATTACACTTGCAAAAAACAAAAAACAAAAAATAGAAAATTAATAAGGAAAAACTTTGAATGATCACTAATTAGCAATTCTATTTGTAAAAATATGTAAACACATTGTTTACAAAACAAATCTTTCAGCAATTGCAAGATAGGAAACAAAAAAAAAAAAAAAAAAGTGAAATGGAAAAATATGAAGTAAAACTTTTGGTATATTGATGGTAAAAAATAAAAAAGAAAAAACAAACAACTGAATGTGATAAGATTTGAGATATTTAAAAGAGTACATAATGCGAAAGATTAAACAATAATTAAATGATTAATTATCCATTTGAAAAATTTTTAATACTAAATTTGAATATATTAAATTTTTATGTTTGTTAGCTAAACAACAAACAAATTTTATATTATCATCCTTATAAATAACTCTTCAACATTACCAATATTAATGATTTTGTTTGAACAAAAATGTTAAACTAAAAGTGAAACGTTGCACTGAATGATTGAGTGAAAGCAACTGTCTAACTATTAGTTAATAGCAAAACAAATGGTTGAAAAAAAAAAGTATCGAAATGGTGTAAAATGTAAAAAAAAAAAAGGAGGATGTAAGCTACTTTTATTTAAAAAAAAAAAAAATTATGCTAACTTAATTATTTTGTAGTATAATTCATAAACTTGACATCTGTTAAAGTATTATAACAATATACTTGTACTAACAAACAAAAATAACAAACTGGATGAAAATAAAAATAAAAACAAAAAAAAAAAAAAATAACTTTGTTAAGAAGTAACTAAGCTGTAAATTAAATATGGAAAAAAGAACACGTCTGTATGGTGCAAAAGATAGAAGCGTATGACGTAATACAAACGCTGCACAGTAAAAAAATCGCGTAAATTACGTACGTCTTAGTACGTATATAGAAAATTATATTCATTTTCTCATGATATTTGATGATGATAGCATGAAATTATATTACTATAAAATATAAACATTTTATCGCATATAAATAGTATTATAAGTTAGCATCTATAGTATGCTTTACAAAATTGATATCTTATTAAGGTATCAGATCTATACATCCTATAAATGAAAAAAAAAAAAAAAAAACAAACTACATGGAAATAAAAAATATAAGTAACTTTGTTAAGAAGTAACTTAAAGTTATAAATTACAGAAATAAGTATATAAAAAAGAGAATAGTATATATGTATAGAATAAGTAAGAATAAGTATATGTGGTGCAAACATAGAAATATCAAACAGAACAAATACTTAAAAAAAAATTAAAGGAAAGATTGAATAAACTATTCTGAAAAGTTATATGACATAGGAAAAAAAAAAAAAAAAATGCTAACCTATTTTTATTGAATAAAATATTCCACTGATAACATTGCTGCATTTGTGATCAGCAAATGACATTTCGTTGTCATTTCCTATTTATTCAATTAAATCCTGAAATTATAAATTTATAACTTTTCAATTTTTTTTTTCTGACATTTGAATAAAATGAATATGACAAAGAGAAAAAGTATGAAATCACAAATATAATTAATTAATATGAAAATTCAACTTTCACATTAATTCTCATTAATTTCCTTTATCAAACAAAAAGTAATATAAAATTGATAAATTGCAATGCTACTACTACTTTATAGTGTATTAAATTTGCATTAAAAGATAAGAAATGATAATCAATAATGAATGATAAGCACAGATAAGAAGTGAAGGAATAATTACAGGTATCAAACAAAGAAAGAGAGAGAGAGAGAGGGACAGAAGGAGACGGGGAGAGAGAGAGAAAGAGAGAAAGATGGAAGGAGAGATTAGTGATTAGAATGAAGATAAGAAATATTAAATAATATGTTATTAACAATGAAAGATTTGCTATTCAATTTGCCGATTATATTGAAATTCAATTTGAGAATTGAAAATAAGTATAATGAAAATGAAAGAGGAGAGGAGAGAAAAAGGGAATGAAAGAAATATGTATGTATCTATAGGGAGAGAGGAAAGAGATGGAAATCAATTAAGACATACTCTTATTGAAATGATAATTAATGATGATAATTACTATTAGTTTTTTTTTTTTTTTTTTTTTATCAATAAATAACGTGAAAAGCTAAATTTCCAGTAGTAGACAACGTCAAAAGTTAAACTTTTGTTGTTGAATTAAATGTGAAAAGTAAACAACTTTTCTTTTAATTTGATTTGATAAAAATTGCAATTATCACAGATGCAATTAGTATGGCGAAATTTCATCTTAATTCCCTCTCTCTCTCTCTCTCTCTCTCTCCCTCTCTCTCTCAGTGTAATTCTTTCATCGATGCCACTGAACCGACCATATGATCAAACTGCCTCTCATTAATCAAACGTCAATCTCCACCAGATAGATCCGGGACAGGACGAGACGGGGAGGTTGATAGGTTGATTCCTTCACTTCACTTATCTACGTACGTCTGCGACGACCGCATGTGCATGCGTGTCTGCTACGAAAGCGTGTGTGTATCTGTGTCTGTGTGGGTGTGAATGTGTGTGTATGTACGCAAAGTATGTCTGTATGGGCGTCTGTGTGTGTGTGTGTGTGTGTGTGTGTATGTGTGTATGCAAAGAAATTGCGAAATGCTTACCTGAGACAAAACAGATTCTTATGAACAGTTGTACGCCGGGAGGAGTAGTAGTAGGTGGACGGAATGGGCGGAATAGAAGTGCTAGACAGATAAATGACACTTTTTCCTTTTTATCTTGAATTGACTTGTTTTATCCTTTCTTGCCATTCTGATAATAGTGATAGGTTTGTAGTGGATGAGAAAGATAGGTACGTGTTGATGCGTACGTGTTGATTGTACGTGTTTGACTTTTGATTGGGTGAAATAGATACTTCATAGTGTTAATGTTAAAGTAATAGTTCAAATAATTTAGATTTTAAGCAGAAAGTTTTTTGCAGCGGATGAGAAAGATAGGTACGTGTTGATGCGTACGTGTTGATTGTACGTGTTTGACTTTTGATTGGGTGAAATAGATACTTCATAGTGTTAATGTTAAAGTAATAGTTCAAATAATTTAGATTTTAAGCAGAAAGTTTTTTGCAGCGGATGAGAAAGATAGGTACGTGTTGATGCGTACGTGTTGATTGTACGTGTTTGACTTTTGATTGGGTGAAATAGATACTTCATAGTGTTAATGTTAAAGTAATAGTTCAAATAATTTAGATTTTAAGCAGAGAAAGTTTTTTGCAGCGGATATTATTAAGATTATTGAAAGAAGATTTACGTATATATGTGCGCATTTGCGTATTATCCCAATAAAATATTATTTAATATTGAAGAGCTAATAAATAGTACGTGCTAATAAATATATCATATACACGTACTACGTAATAGTACGTGTATAAGATGATATGGTGTGCAGTGTTTATTTCATATATGATATGTCAATTTTAGGCTAAATTAAAAACGATTTATTATTACGCAGCATGATGATGTCCTATGCTTAAATAGTTACTCGCAACAGTGTGAGAACAAAGCAAATAAACTGGTTAGTTTACATTTATTATTGTTATTCCTTAATTAATTGAATTTTTAAGCTTAGATATTTTTTTAGCTTTTTATACTTTGTAGTGTGTATTAGATGGTAATTTATTAAGCATCTTAATTTGATTCCATGAAAATCAATATTTGAAATGCAGTGACCAAAGGAAATTAAAACAGTATGTTGTGATATCTGTCAATTTTAGGAGTTAATTTCTTAGATGAAATAGATTATTTAGGATTGATGGGCAATCATACATTATTGGTTGTTTCTGAAAGATAATTTGACAATATCTAAAGTTAACATTTGCATTTTTATTGAAAATGTGTTTCATGTTTATAACCTATGGCAACATCTATTCTTGTTTATTTTAGGTTCAACATGACTTTCTTCATTCTCTTCGTTTCATTCATTTTTGCATGTGCAATTCATTCAACGTATTCCTGCAAGCAAAAAGATGCATCAAGTACGAGACAAAGTTAATAAAATATAACTCCCATATTACATAATTGTCATAGTAAATTTAAAGAGTGTTAGCCAAATGTTGAGATTTTTTTACTCTTATCGGTATGAATTGTTAGTGCTAGCTTGTATTAAATTTTTCCATATAGGTAAATTTATTAATTGTATTTCATTCTAAACAAATTATATATTTATTTGTTCTAAAAAATTCTTTTTATATGTGATTAATAGTCTTTTCTTCTAGTTGGCAGCGATGGACGATCAATTTTGCGTGGTACCTTTCTGGGATATCCCATTTATAGAAGCTGACAACTTACTGTCGGATTACTACGATGAAAGTAGTATTTCTAAAGCTGCTTCCAGGTATCTTTTCATGTTACTGAAACTAGCGGGTTGTCAACCTTAGTACTTAGTTCAAGTTTTGATAGTATTTCAGTTTTTTGTCATGATTTCGTCATTGCTCTATTTTTAGATGTCCAAACAACGTTTCCAAGGTTTCAACACGATACTTATTGGACGAAGATTTGGATGATGTACTGGAACAGATTTACACATCAACAGCAGAGCAAAATGACGAAGGACAATTATTGTGCAGTTTAGATGATGAATGTGACAAACCTGGTTATTATGATGGTAATGATATTTCGTGGCTGAATGAATTCATGAATATTTATGGGATTACCACTTTAGATTCAAATGATGATTTTAACATGAAAAGTATCAATACAGTCGTTACAACACCACAAGCCAAGGCAAATCATTCAGTTATTGTACCGCCTATGGAAGAAATGAAAAATGATGAAATTTTAATTGATGTAAGTTCCCAATAACAATTTCTTTTTCAAATTTTTTTTGGATAGAAAGATAATTCTTTTCTTGTTCGGTTTTTTGTAAGATAAATTTGTGTTCTATTTTGTCAGTATTTTCTTTTCTATGCATACGAAACTGTTGTCTCTACTACCAGTCATTCAGAAATGCACTACACAATTGTCAATAGCTCCGGACAATGTTTCGATGATGTCATTTGATATTTGTACTGCTGCTGGTAGTGGAAATATGTTTTCTGCTCGAAAAACTAACACAGCACGAAAAAGTGTTAAAAATGTGATGGGAGAAAACGATAAGGTAGAACAAATCAAACCATAATTTCATTTAAAGAAGAAATTTATACTGTTTTGTACACTTAGTCCAAGTAAGAATTTTAGGAATTTGATTTTCAATTTTCACTAATCCTAAATCCTAAAGGATATATAGTTGACGTCATATAACGTTTCTCTTATTATTAATAAAATATCTTATTACTAATAATCCGATACGAAATAAGCTAAATTGAATGATTCTTGCTGTTCTCTCTTTTTTTTTCTTTGCTCATTATCACTTCCAGCGCTTCTCCTACTATTTCTCCAAAATGCATTTGACATTTCACATACCGTTAAATAGCTGGAGGGACTTGTTTTAGAAATCATGGTTATTTAGTTGTTCTTAAGAATGAAATGACATTTAATTTTCAGACAATACATTCAAGTGCTGTGGAAATTGCGAATGGCAGTATTCACGAAAAAAGCAGTGTTGTCTCAGATCACATGCAAAAGCTTGAAAATTTTGCAGTAAACGGAATGCTTTTTGATGGTATTAGTGAGCGCAAACGGGAGCAGAATCGTTGCGCAGCAATTCGATATAGAGGTGAGTGTAGATGTTGTGTATTATATTGTTATGGAATTAAAAGCTTTTGTTAATTGCAAAACATATTTATCCTTCTTTTTTTTTTTTATTTTTTTTTATCCTTCTTTTTAATCTTCAAAACTTTGAGATTACTAAAGAGTACTTGTTCAGGTGTTGACGGAAGTAACGATATATATATATGTTGTAATATGTTAACCACACAACTTTGTTTTTCGATAGATTTGCTTGGTAATTCAGCTTATTTTTTGCAGGTAAGCGTCGTGAAGAAGTGAAACAGATGAAACAAGAGTTGCATAAGCTTGAACTACGCAACACAGAATTGAAAACTGAAATGAACTGGCTCGAAAAAGAAGTCACTTATTTAAAAAGTTTGATGAAACTTACGAAGAGTTTGTGAAATTATATGCAGTTGGTTTAGAAAACTGCATGCGATTTTTCATTGTAAAAATTGCATCTTTCATTGTAAAATTGCAATTTATCAAACTTGGGCTATCTTTTATATGGTAGCTATTTGTTTTTATTTCATATTATTTAGTGTTTATGTTGTTTCTATAAGAATTAGTGCGTATTATTTTTCCATTTTTTGTTTTAAAGTTTGTAATCATTTGTTTTTGCATATCTCTTCCATTCACATTTTTTTTTTTTTTATCCATTGTTAAACATGGCATTGTCAATCATTTTTTGTTTGTTCATGTAATCTACCGTCACGTGCATAACAACATTGAATCATATTGTATTTTTTTTCTTTTTTTTTTTTCCATAGTTTATATTTAGAAGATTGAAAATTACATATTTCGATAACAATAAAGCGTTCACTAAATTGTTTTCGATTATGTTTGTTTCTCGGGAAGCTGTTCGGAAAAATGAACTGTTAATATGTAAAGATCTGAGTGTAGTCAGATATTTTAGTCTTTCATTTGTTAAAGTGAATAAAAATAAAAAAATTCGGCAATATAGGGATTGGCAATTTTCATAGAGCAATCGATGCGATAGACTGCGAAGCAATCTAAGTATTTTAGGAGTTATATTAGAAAATGATGCATTTACTCTTTGAATATCCAATAATAATGGTAATCGATTATGTTTACGAGAAATTGCACAATTTGTTTTCTTCCCAATTTTAAAACTTTTATCTTAAAATTTTCAAAAAATATTAAAGCATAAATAACATTTTTGCTCATTATTAATCGTTAATTTTCATTTTCATTCAAAAAAAAAAAAAAAAAAAAAAAAATAATGAAAAAAAAAAAAAAAAAATCGCACATTTTGAACAAAAAAAAAAAAAATTTTTTTTTTTTCTTGTCAAATTTATACGAATGAAGTGAAAAGGAAGATTTATATGAGTTTTATTTTAAAAAAAAAAAAAAAAAGAAAATATTGTTATTTTGATTACTGGTAAAAAATATATTGATTTGAATAAACATTAAATAGATGATAAATTTGATAGAGGGAAAAGAATAAGAAGAGAAATGAATAAAGTAAGAAAGAAAGAAATCGTTAAAAACTTTATACTTTTATTCGTAAATGAGAAAAAGAAAGCTTTTCTGGCTTATATCAAAATCAATAACTAGGCATTTATATTCTATAAATATATGGCCTAGTATAGATGGATAGCTACACTTTTTCTTCTTCTCTTTCAAGGCACTTTTGCAATATTTTCAAACAAGCCTTAAAACTAGATTATACTGTGTGTGTGTATGTATGTATGCATGTGTATGTTATATATTTGTATGTGAAAGTAAAAAGGGAGAGAAATGGAGGTGAAATCAAACAACTAAGCCTAAAGCCAAAAACATCTCTTATTTCTGCTAGCTATCTACTAGTTGTGCTTTTGAGTGCGCAATAGAAGCATATAAATTTGAATCAAAGCTAATTCTATAGAGAATATTTCCTTCATTTTTACAACTTTATCATCCCTCTTATCATCCTTATCACTTTATCACATTACTTTTATCATTTTGCTGCTTTATTTTATCATTTTTCTTGCTTATTTTTTATTATTTTCGTTGTTTTTTTCTCCTTCCGCTTACACAACAATAACAACGATAACAAATCCAAATGGCTGGTACTGGTGATGCTGCGGTATGTCTTTTTTTTTTTTTTATTTATCAAATATTTTATGTAATATTATTAAATTTTAATATAATATGAAAAATATTTGCCTATTTATTAATTTTATTGGAAATATTTTATTCATTGATTTGATAATTATAATGAATGATCAGAAATGAAATATCAGAATTGATGAAGAATGAAAAATTTTTGATAAATGACAATAAAATCATTCATTCTTTTTTTATTTTCCATTATTTCTATCTATTTTTATTTTTTTATTTTTTTTATTTTTGATTAAATTCAACTTATTGAATAAGGAATCTTTGTTTGTTTTCTCTAATCTTTCATAATGTGATGAATTCAATGTATATTTCTCATCATCAAAATCATTCAGTTTGACATATAACACGTACGTGAACCACAATTATCTCAGATTTATTTATCTTACACGCAAATGATGAAATAATTATTTCAAGTATACTGTACTTTCATAGTGAGGGGATACTGTAACTAGTTTCTTACCGTTTCAATCAGTGATAATGAAGTGGTACAAAGCGAATACAGTAATTCTTATTTTATAATTTTCATGCAAATTTGAAAAGACATTATTGATATTTCATAGTTCTTGAGACTTCAACAAAACTTTTTCAAATCGATAATTCTTAAATACAGTAATCCGATACAGTATGAACGAAGCACAATGCATGAACATTCTTTCACATTTATTTGATACTTATTTACTTACTTAATTCCTGTTTACCTTGTTTTTAAATCATTTTACACGGAGGAGAGAAAAATTTAGTTCATTTTTGTTTCTTAAAAATTTTCAACTTCTGTTTCTTAAAAATTTTCAACGTAATCTTAAAAATTTCAACTTCTGATATTCATATATTTTAATACGTCACTTAATAATTTATTAAATCCTTTCAGTGATGATATATTCCATTACTTCTATTCATTTTGTTTGCTCATACTTTTAAGAAGAGGATTATATCTATCAATCTTTTCCATACTTATTTTCAAATATTTCTAATTACTTTCGTCTTCTTACAATTATTAATTTCTTTCCCAAAAATATTAAGCTAATATAAATATCCAACAAAGTTAAATTTCTCATTTCAATTCTTCATTTTGCCCACATAGAGGCAATTAATCATAATTTGGTTTTCGGATTCATTTTATTCATATAAAAAAAGCCAGAAAAAAAGGTGATTAACAATGTATGAAGTTTAAATGCAAATAATTTGTTTAAATTAAAATTTACAATGCATTTATTGACACTTTATATTTCTAATTTTTCCAATAAATAAATTTACGATTATGTGTTATTATCCATTCATTAAATGTTTATGGAATAATTTTGAACATAGTTATTTATTTCAGTTCCTATTTTCCTTTACTTTTAGTTTTCTTGTCATTAACATAAGTAGCATAAATATTTATGTCTTATCACTGCAAGACATAAATATTTAAAATCAATTACAGCTTTTTTTGATTCAATTAAATTAATAATAAGCGAATAAATGTAAACTTATACCTTAAAAAAGATAAAAGCTCATTATCACAGCTAATAATTTTACCCGTTATTTTATTTATTTTTTTTATTATTATTATTTTTTTTTCAATTTTTTTCATTAATGTTTAGAGGAGAAAAGATAAAAGATGAGAAGAAGAGAAAGCTGATTTTTTTTTCCCGAAAACTTTGTAGGTTGAAGTTTTTAAAGTTTAATTATCGAAGGCAAAAAATTAAAAAAAAAAAAAAGTGAAGTGAAGAAGATATTGATAAATTGCGAAAGCTTTTTGCTTTCAAAACATAGCCCGTCATTTAGTAAAATTTTAAATGAAATATTTTTCATAATTAAATTAAAATTGTAATATCGATATTAATGAATTATTAGTAGATGATTTAGAAATAAATTTTTGCATTTTCCTAAAAATATATTAGAAACTTTTTATGTTTATTCTTTATATTGAAATTTGAAAAAGTTTATTTAGACAAAACAAATATTTGAGGCATAAATTGATAAAGAAGGGAATATAATAAATTCGATTATCAACAAGTAGGTAATTCTATTTGCCTCAATTTGTCTCTGAAAAGATTCTCTCTCATTTCATTTTTAAATAATAATTTCTCATTTTTAAATGATAATTTTAAATAATAATATTTTCTTTGTTCAGAAATTTTAGCTTATTCTTCTAATTTATATTTTTAAAATGCATAACAGTTCTTTTTTTCTGACTTTTTCCTTCTTTTGTAATATTTCTTTCAATTATTCAAAACATTTTAAATTATTCCTTTTTTTTCCAGAAAATTTTTTTTCAAGTAAATCATTCAGTTTTCTTTTCAAATTGTTAATCACAACATCCATTTTTTTAGTATTCATTTATGCTTTTCCTCGCATTCCAATATTTTCTTTTACTAATCGAATAATATTAACTGATTACAAGGATTTAGAAACAAGAAAAATGAAATGAATACGAAAAGTTATTCTGCTAAGTTGAAATTATGCAAATTTAAAGTTGCTAATAGTGAATGACCCTAATTTATTATAAATTATTCCATTCATCTTAAAATTCTTTTAGCCAACTTTTTTTTTTTTTTTTCACCTCAATTTAGTCCTAATTATTTCTAATAAACTTTTATAGCTTAATTTAATTTACAGAAGAATGCTCTTGAATCCTTATTCAATAAAACGAAAGAAGTTGTTCAAACAGCTGGTTAGTACTTTTCTTTTTCTTGTTTGACAAGATGACTTATATAAATCTGTTATTATTATTAAATACAATGGTATTTATCAAATTGAAGTGTTAATTAAAAATAAATCATGACTGAAACATGTTCAGCTTTATGATCATTTGTTTTAGCATCAAATATAATGGCTAAACCTTTTTTACGCTGATTACTGTAGCATACTGTAGCTTACAGTAATTAGACATTGTATAGATGATATCAAGATTATTGTGATTATTATTATTATTATTATTATTATTATTATTATTATTATTATTATTATAAAGGAATGTTGCAAATAAGCAGTTTAAATGTTGTCTGTAGTTTATCTTATAATTTTAAATTAAATAGCAGAAATGTATGAAAATTAATGTGAAAACTAAAATTGCTCATCAAATAAAATTGCTTCTATCGTATGTTAAATTAGAATTTTTTCATTTTAACTCTTTTTGAATCATTTGCTACTTATATAAAACACTAATAATTATTATCCATTATACAGCCTTAACAAGTTACTACTTTGTATCATAATTTTGGTTTGTTTAAAATCTGAGAAGAAGCATACAATAATGACAATTTTTCTTAGTAATTTCTTAGCTTATTATATTAGCAATATATAACACACAGTGACATTTTTTTGTACTACTTAAAATTTTTGAAATATTTTTTTTTTTTAGATTTTTTTTCAAAGTTTTTATTTTCTTTTAACATACTTATTATCATCATCGTACTGCAACAAAAAAAAAAAAAAAAAATGAAAGAAAAGGGAACTATTTTTCATTTTTCAGCAAAAATACTTGCAAATTTTTTTCTTCTCAAAATTGAAAAAAAAAAAAGAAAAGTTGAAAAATCTAATCAAAATATTTGATAATTATATTGAAAAATATCAATTTTCAATATGGTAGCAAATTTTTTTTTGCTTTTCCAAAGAAAAAATTTAATTCTTTTTTAGCGGAAACAACAAAAGAATATGCGAATGTTGCAATTGGCAAAATTATTCCAAATTCTGGTCTTCAAACAGCTGCAACCAATGTTTGTCTCATTCATTGTTTTCTTTTTTTTTTTCGATTTAGTTAAAATTTTAATTTTTTAATATCCAATTAATTAAAATTGTTATTATTATTATTACTACTACTTATTTTCTCCAATTCAATAAATTTTCCTCTTTTCATAAATATTTTTGTTTCTTAAAATTTCTCTTAAAATTTTGCATGGAATTAATATAAATTTTATCCTTTCTAAAAAAAAAAAAAAGCTACTGATTTTAATATACATCATATTAATTCGAAGTAACAGATTTATAGTATTACATTTGTTACTTAACTTTGAAGAGTTCTCGAATAAATAATTTCACAATTTCATTATCGTTTATTAATTTAAAAGCATTTGTAAGTTGCAATATGTAAAAAAATTATTACGGAAAACGCAGAATAAATCATTTTTCTTGTTTCACCTTTTTCTAGTTTCTTAATAATATGTTATTTGAACCAAATTTTTTATTGCAATTATTAGCAAATTGCAATACAATTAATTTCGATTACAATTAAATGTTATTAATGGTTTTGTTTTTTTTTTTTTCTAGTTTTTAACAATTACATTTCAAATTTTTAGATTTATTAAAATAACAACGAAATAATGATTTTTTTTTTTTTTTTTTTTACACATATTATTGAATATTTCAAAATTTTCTTCATTTTTAAATTTTAAATTTTTAGCCAAATTCGGCAACCGAACAAACGAACCCAATGGAAACAGGTATGCATTATACCTATAATTACTTAATATCATTAAATTAGAGAATAGAAAAAAAAAAGATTACAAATTGGAATTGTATTAAAATATTAGAATTATTTCATCGTATATTGTATTTTAAATTAGAAAATATAGTATCATAGCATTTACTTATTTCTGTAACAATCCTTTTTTTTTTCTATTTTTTGCTTTTTTACTTCTTATTCCAGGTGGCGCATCAGCTGTAAATCCACGTGGCGCATCCAATAATTAACAAAAAAGATTTCAAAGAAGAAGTCCAAATCCATTTATATACATTCATTCCATTTCAGCTTTCATTTCCATTTTTTCTCTCTTTTTAAAAAAACAAAAAAAAAAAAAAAGGAAAAAAAGGAAAAAAAGGAAAAAAAACCACACTGTTATGTTATTTGCATTAAAAAATATTCCTTAGAAATACTCCAAAATTGAAATTTTTCCCTTCTTTTTTTAAAAAAAAAAAAGAGAAAAACCTCAACAATTTTGAAAAAGTGAAACTTTTACCTCCATTTCTTACTTTTCCATTTTACAAAATCTTCCAACAATTTAAACTTCTCTTGGAAATTCAACATAAAACTTTTTTTATGAACATTAATTTTGTAAAACATTATATTTATTTTCGTTGTACTAAACATTTTCTTTTTTTTTTATTCATTATTCTCTATTTATATACAAAAATTAGATTTATAAATATTTTTGATGTTTTAAAAATAAATTTTGCATACTCTCGAGAACATTTCTAATACATGCATTTCTTTTATTTATTTACGATTTTATTTAATTTTGAAATTTCTGAAAATTTTGAAATCATTTCGTTTGAATTTTTTTTTTCTTCTTTTTGGTAATGATCATTTCACGTATTCTTATAACTATAATTACAAACTTTTATAAAACTAACAAAATATTCGAACTCTGTCATTTCCATTTGTAATTAATTAACTAATTAATTAAATTTGATTCATTAGTATTTATATCGTTACTATTCTGTCAATAAATTACTTTTCTGTTTTTTTTTTTTTTTTCTTGTTTATACCAACAGCATTCGCTATCTTTCACCAAGAAAAAGTTATATCAATTTAAAAAAGAAAAATTCAAAAATGCTTATTTCAGTATTTTATACATTGATTTATTATTCCTTGTTTACGTGAATTTTTTAAACGTAAGTCAAATTTGCATAATGATAAGGAAAAAATTCTTTTAGAAAAAAAAAAAAAATCTAACGGCTAATTTTAAGTCAACGTAAACATAAAATTCAGCTTGAATATTTTATCCTGGATAGTTTCTTTATTCAATTCTTCTATAAGATGCAGGAATGATTTATGATTAGATAATTGTTCTAAAATAGTATGCGACAGATTGAATAAAATGTAAGATGCACGGTATTTGACGTTTGATTACGTAAATGTTCTTCTGCAAGTATTGATCAATTAATAAGTACCATTCGAGAAGTATCGATCATTTAAGTACCATTCGAGAAGTATCGATCATTTAAGTACCATTCGAGAAGTATCGATCATTTAAGTACCATTCGAGAAGTATCGATCATTTAAGTACCATTCGAGAAGTATCGATCATTTAAGTACCATTCGAGAAGTATCGATCATTTAAGTATCATTCGAGAAGTATCGATCATTTAAGTACCATTCGAGAAGTATCGATCATTTAAGTACCATTCGAGAAGTATCGATCATTTAAGTACCATTCGAGAAGTATCGATCATTTAAGTACCATTCGAGAAGTATCGATCATTTAAGTACCATTCGAGAAGTATCGATCATTTAAGTACCATTCGAGAAGTATCGATCATTTAAGTATCATTCGGGAAGTATCGATTATTTAAGTACTATTATTTGGGTATACTTATATAAATTTGACGTCAACGCAACGATCTATGCTATTAATGCCAATATAAATGTTGAAACGTAATATATCAATTGTGAGAATATTGCAATTTCCATTAACGTTCCATCACAAATTACCGAAACGCATTTCAACATTCGATTACGTATCATTCAAACGTTCAGCCACGTATCATTCATACGTTCAGCCACGTGTCTCTGTTTACCGTTTCATTGCATACTTGAAATAGAAAGAAACGGAAAAACATTCACATCTACTGAATACGCAATGTGGAGAAATTTTTAATATACAAATTATTATTATTATTGTTACTATTATCATTATCGTTATTATTATTATTGTTATTATATTATATCATTATTTTTGTTATATTATTATTATCATTATTATTACTATTATTGTTATTATTACTGATTACATAATAATAATAATTGTTATTACATGACATAAAAATATAAGGAATTACAAGTATTAAGTGTGATAGAAGACGAGTTAAAGTGTAAGCAATATGGCTGATAAATGCTATGCAACTTATTATTAGCAAAAGTAATTACCATTCAATGTATTAACTTTAACCTTTAACCTTGACCTTACAAAAATAACGAAACACATTGCCACTGCATTATTAAAGTATGCTTCGAGGAAGAAAGGTTTGTCAAACATCCTCATCATACCTGGTATTATTATCACCTGTAATACACACACACACACACACACACACACATACATACATACATGACATACAAATACAAACGTAGTATTTGATTAGTAATCGAGATTGATAATCATTTGATTGTATCATAACCCCATAAGATTGTATAGTAATTGTATACATGAATTAATTAAAGAAACGTGTAATTTTGTATGCTTGTGTATACGTATACGTGTATGTGGCGTGTATGTCTGTATCGATGTGCAAAACATTTTGAGAATAGTAAAAAGATTTGTACAGTTTTTAGTTACATAATACACATACAACAGATAAGCATATACTCATATACGTCCATCACATTTATATTGTTAGTTATCATGTATAAAAATTGCGCAATTGCAAAAGTAAACATACACGCACGCGCACGCACACAAACATACACACACACACACACACACATGCACACACATACACACATATGTGTATAAATATGATACATGCATACCATTCTCAACTAACATTCTGCTTAATGGTACAATCGAAAATCCATTTTCCACTCTTTTCTTTTTCACATACCATCCAGAAATTTTCTCTTTATAAAAGACAAAGAGAGGGAGAGAGAGAGAGAGAGGTAGGAAGAGAAAGATAGAAAGAAGAGTTTATACATATATAATCCTGAAATTTTCCTCTTTGAAAGACAAGAAGAGAGTTATATGTATGTGTCCATCTATCTCTATTCTATGTATGTATGAAAGCAAGCAAAGTCTTGATGCTGTGGAAAGAGTCCGATGATGATGATGATGATGATGATTGATCTCGAGACTAGTGATGGTGTCGGGCTGCGCTTTTCGAAAATGAATGCGTGTATGTGAAGCAATGATGGCAAATATCACCACTGATCATCACCATCATCATCATCACCATCATCATCATCATTATTATCATCGTAAACATCATCAATAAATAGGCACTAACTAGCAAAATAGCATTTGATTGCGCGGCCGTTTTCAAATAAGCCGCGCGTTATTTCATTCCATTCATTATTGCTTACTTTTTCTTCACTTTTACCATCATCATTGCTATCATTATCATCGTTATCATTCTCATTATCACTATTATTATTATCACTACTATTATTATTATCATTGCTATCAATTAGCAATAGAAAATCATTGTAGCAGCATTAGCACCAGCAGTAGCAGTAGCATCAGCAGTAGCAGTAGCAGTAGCAGTAGCAGTAGTAGTAGCAGCAGCACTACTGCCATTACCATCAGCCACTATCACCGTCATCCAGGACCATTGCTAACAGCAAGCAGTGCGTGGTAGCAGCTGGAGCAATAGCCTATCATCAAAAAGCTTTCCCTTTTGCTAAACTATACCCTATCCAACTGATCTAAGTACTCCAGCTATCACTTATCATAACTACTATTATCACTATCACTACTACTACCACTTATCAATATTATCAGTGCGACAGTTCAATTATTCTTACTATTTGTCTCATTTGGATAACAAAAATTCTCGTAAAGGTAAGCATATATATGTATATCTTTATGCTATATATGTTTTTTTTTTTTTTTTTTTTTTTTCATTTATGAAATTATAGCAATTAATCGATTTATTATATTTGAAAAGAAATTAATTATATGTTATCAGCGATTTGTTAATGTATTACTATTACTACTACTTATCATTGTTATCAATATTATCAGTTTGTGACAGTAAATATTGTTATTTTATTTTTTGTTTCAATTTGGATAACAAAAATTCTCGTAAAGATAAGCGTATATATATGTATATCTATATGCTATATATATGTGTTTATGGAATATAACAATTAATCGGTTTTATTATATCCGAAAAAAAAAAATGAATTATAAGTTATCAATGATTCATTAATAATGAAGAAAAAAAAAAAAAAAAAAAAAAAAAAAAAGAGGAAGGAAAAAATGTAAATGAAGAAATGGAGATACTGAATGGATGAAAGGAAGTGAAAAAGGTGGAAAAAATAAATTAGATAAAAATTTATTAAAACGAGTGAATTATTTTGATAATATTTATTTACATTTTAGTCGGATAATAATGATAAATAATAATAATTGATAATAAGAACAATAATACATACTATTTATTAACTAATTAATTTTTTTCATTTATTTATTTTTTCTGAATATCTTTCTTTTACTTTATTAATTAGTATTTATTAAATGAAATCAATGGAACAGAAAAATTTTTCTATATGAATTCTGCGACAAGAAAAAGCTAGAAACAAGTTTTATTTTAATCTGATGCAAATATTATCTATTCGTTTAAATGTTGACGCAAAATATTATTATTATCAGTTATTATTATTGGTTATTATTTTTGTTATTAATATCATTATTATTATTAATTATTACTGTTATTGTTGTTTAATCATTTTGTTGTTTGCTAAGGAAGGTTAGCAGCGACAGCAACAACAGTAACAACAACAAGACACCAACAACAACAACAACAAAACAGAAGCAATAACAACAACAACAACAGCAACAATAGCAACAACAATAACAAACAACAACAACAACAACAGCAACAACATAATACATCGTGATAAATATCAGTGTATGTATGATCTAATCGGTATGTGATATGGTTGACGATATTGCAACTGGGAATTTGGATGCAACAACATCAAGAAAGAGAAAAGTAAGTTAGTAAAGATGAAAATATCGAAATATCAATGAAGAAAAAAATAGAACAAAAAAAAAAGCAGAAAAACAACGAAAAAGTTTTATTTTTGGAAAATTGAAATTTTTAAATATATGAATGAAAACAAACTGCAAACTTTATTATGTTCATAATTCATGTGCTAGAATTTAATAATTATTCATTGGATTAAATTAAAGTTTAAATAAACTTAAATCTGAAAGAAATTATAAAAAGGAGCTAAATTAGGTAAATCTTTTTGTAATATATCAATTTCTCATATATGTAATAAAATATTTGGATTCCATAAATATTCATAAGAATGATAATTGTGAGTTTTATAAGGTATTTGTAACTATAATTTTTATAATTTTATTTTATTTGCAAGCAATGAGATTAGAACTACTATTATGCTATTTTTAGAAATTTCAATCCAAACATGATCCACTTATATGTAGTGTAATAAGGATGCATTTTCAGCATAATGTTATTATAATTAATTGATATTAATAATTAGTGACATTGATAGTTAACAATGATTTTGTTACAAGTTTATTTCATACTTTACGAAACTATCACATAAATTATAATTAATAAGTAAGTGTGCAAATATATTTATAGCAATTATTTTGTTAATTATTTTCTATACTAGTTATTGTCAAATAAGAAAGAAAATTTAATAATAAAAATAATTTTGAAAAAGAAAAAAACTTCTTTAACAAATTTAGCCTACATCAATGAAAAGTGGTCGAAACAGCAATAGTGATATGATAATTGGAAATGATGGTAATAAATGTGGTACAGAATCAATGATAGCGCAAAAAGGTCGAAAATTGAAGCAATATGTTTTGGAAGAGAAACTTGACATTATCGATTATGCTAAAGTCATCCATTTTTATCATTTTTTTTTTTTTTCTTCTATTTTTTCCATTCCTTTATATCTTTTTTTTTTAAGGAAGGAAATCTTAATAATTTAACAATTAAATGAAGGAGAAATAGTTAACAACAATAATAACAGTAATAGTAATAGTAATAATTTGGTTAAAAATGGCAATCATAAAAAAAAAAAAAGAAAATAAGTTTAATTGAAAAATTTTTATCCTACAAAATAGTTTTTTAAAATATTTTATTCATTTAAAATATTATAACGAATTTTTCTTGTTTTTTTTTTCTCGTTTTTGTCAAAGGTTTCATCGTAATTAACCTAAAACTTATTAAAATGTTTGGGATTAATCTTGCAGATGATTCATCCGCTTAACTTTTAATAGTATAATTTACATTTATGCTTGAATTTATGGAATGATTATTATTTTGCAGATAATTGGAAATCGAGCAGCCGGACGAGAATTTAATGTTGCAGAAAGTTCAATACGTGAATGGAGGAAGAATGAGCAAAGGCTTAGGTATTATTAAATTTTCCTCTTTTTTTTTTGCCTTAGCTGATAATTTTGAAGGTTTTATATTTGAAAAATTGAGCAAAAAAATTTTTTTATTTGAAAAATAAGTTTATTTTAATAGGTCAATGTTTGAAACTACACCAGAAAGATCACGATTAGATGGCGGTGGACGAAGACCAGTTTCCGAAGATCTTGAAAAGAGTTTGGTTAGTTATTAAAAAAAAAGAAAGAAAAATACGAAGTTATACATACAGTACATAAGTTATAATTGTATGCTCATTTATTAGTAATAATAGCTAATTGACAAATTGGAATTTTCAATAATAATATAAATACTATTAATTATATTTGTATAGTAATATCATGATAAAAGTTAACATTATCAGTATTATCATAAAGTTATCAGTGTCACAAACTTTCTTTACCGTGGTTGCAAAATGTGGACGACATCACATTTAATTTTCAGTTAATTAATCAATTAATCAGTTAAGACAGATTGAATTACCATTCGTAGTGTGACAGTTGTTTGCTTTATTTATGTTAGCTTATCAGTAAAATATGTCTGGCTTTTTTGAAGCACTGAAAATTAATCATTATAATTATTGTTACGATTAAGTTTAATACAATTAATTATGATAATACTGGTGACAATAATAATAATAATAATAATAATAATAATAATAATAATAATAATAATAATAGACAGTGATACAATTATTAATACAATATGATGATTAAAAAAAAAATTGTTTGTCTAATTTTTTGATTAAATTTTGATTTCAGATAAAACAAAAATTCTCGACCAGAACCTATTTCATAAATTATATAATTAAGTTTAGCAAGTATATTAACTTATCCTAATCCTAGTCTTACTATATCCTATCCCTTTACGACATTACTTTTAGTTTGTTCGACAAAATGCTATTATAAATTCAATTTAATTATTATAAACTTTATCACATAAATCATATCAATAAATTTAATCGACAATTATAAACTTTCTTGGGCAACTAATTAGTTAGTTAATTAATCTATCTTATAACAAACAAATTTTCTAACCTATTTTGAAATAAAAAAACTAAAAATTTGCTTATTATTCGAGTCTTTTTTCTTTTAGAATCTAATTTTAGATACTTTTATAACTACTCATTCATTTAAAACAGGAACTATTGTTATCGCTGGCTTTTATTTCTTCTCCTTTTTATTCTTTTCCCTTTTTTCCTTTTTCCTTTTTTTTTTTTTTTTTTTTTCTTTTTGCAAATAACAATTAATAGAAAATAAAATTTTCCTTTATAACTTTCTCTCCTTTTATCCATTTTACCATTTATATGTCTTAGAAGAGAATATAATTGTTTTTGTTTGCATATAACTTTAGCAATTTGCGCCTTATTATATTTGTATTGGATGAAAAAAAAAAAAAAAAAAAATGATTAATTTCATTTTTCAAAGCGTTTTTCAAATTAAACGATGTATTTGTATGTAAACTAAAGAGTGAAATTCCAAAAGATATGAAACATTAAATTAATCAAAAAGCATTTTTCAAAACGTTTTTGTTTTTCCATCTTATTTTTAGGATGTAAAAGTTTAACTTTTAAATGTTATTTTTCCATTTAAACTATTTTTTTAATGGAATAAATTTGGTCTATTAAGTTATAGATCTACTTAATTTCAACAAAAGACTGGAATTGTTTTTGTATGATTGAAAGTGATTTTTCAATTTATTTCCATTTAATCGTTTTATCCTTTTTTTTTCCCTCCAAATTCTTAAATCATATATAACTAAATTAATTAATTTAGTAGTTTGATTTTAGTAGTTTGACATTGATAAATGAAATCAGTGAAATATAAATGAAATATTAAATTACATGGTTGCTTTTAAAAAAAAAAAAAATGCAAAATACGGCGTTGTAGGAAATAGTGATGTATGGATTATTTTAAATTTTGAAAATATATGATAATTTAAATCCTTTTTGATTAAGGAGATAATGAAGTTTTAAATTCCACTATGCTTATTTCTCCATTTGTCGTTGAGTACTTCAATAGTGTTTCAAGCTATTACGGGTAACCTAGCAATTATGGGTAATGGAAAAGCAGGAAGAACCCAATGTTCTGATCCTTTTGCTCCAGTTTTATTGACTGGTATGTGCGGTGTCACCAATTTGCGGGAATCCATGGTGTCCCATGTATATGTGATAATTAATTAATGCTGCTAATGATTTGAATCACTTATCAAAACTATCAAATGTAGAGAAAAAAAAAAACAATGAAAGCTAAGAAAAAAAAAATATTTTTTCTTTTCAAAAAGATAAATTATTTGAAATTATTTGTAAAATAACATAAAGAGAAAAAAAACCTTCGATGAATTATTATTATTATTATTATTATGCGTTAAATTATCTATGAAATAATCAACATACAATTGATTAAAAATTAATCAATAAAATAGTCAATATGTAATTAATAAAAAGTTATTAAAATATAATTTTGATCAAAATTTTCAATTGATATATTTATTGTCAAAATTTGCCGCATTTTTTTTCTTTTTTTTTTCTTTTGCTACAAATTTATAAAACATGTAAAATAGTTTTGGAAAAATAATGAAAAAAAAAAAAATGTTTTTGTCATGTATGAATAATAAGCCAAATTATAAATAGAAAATTTGGAGAGAGAGAGAGAATGATGATAATCGTATTACATTTCATTGCTAAATATTTTTGTTAAATATGTAAATATAAATATATGAAAATGTTTTAGGGATGGATAATAATTAAATTTTGCATCATTCTAATTAATTATCATATTTAAATAAGTAAATGAAATATAATCAATACTCTAGTCTTGTTTTGCTAACATAATTAATTAAATTATTCTTTGTAAAAAAAAAAAAAAAAAGGACGGAAATTTTTTCAATACTTTTTTTTTTAAATCTCTTTTTTTTTTCTTCAAATTTATTTCTGAAATTGTTTTCTCTTTTTCTTTTTTTTTTTAAACTGCAATTTTTTCCCATTCGTTTTTCTCAAATTTAATTCCATTTTTCCAGTAAAATATGTAAATTTTATTTGATCTTTTTCATGGAAGGTACTTTTTTTTTGAAGAGAAAAAGAGGATATAATAAAGAAGATAATATGATATTATAATGGTATATTTAATAAATTTGCAGCTTCATTATGTGACAGCAAGGAGTGACAATGGAGTAGCTCTAACATGGCATGACATTAAAGAAAAAGCAAATGCTTTATGGAAAGATATTTGTGATCGAAATCCGGAATATAATGATCGCGGTTTTACCGCTAATATGGTATATTCTTCAGTATTCATTTGTGTTTCGTTATCTGTAAAATATATTTGTAATAATCAATCCGGTATGCAATTATTTCATTTTGTTTTTTTTTTTTTTTTTTTTTTTAAGGCTTAAAAAATATTAAATTGAAAATGTTAACATTATATATCTTGCAAATTAATTAATTATAGAATAGAACTTCTACCGAAATCATTTATGCTAATAATTGAAAAGTTTTAAAAATTACAGTATACCATTATTTTCTATGCCGTTAATACGGTATGTTGCTTTGCGTACTATTAATACAGTATGTTATGGAATTACAGTATAACATTTAATGTTGCATTCAAAGATTAAAATTTGATTTTATTGCAAGGATGATATAATTTTTGGCATCATCTCAAAAAAGACTTGTATTTATTTCATGCAAATATTACAAAATTAATGATTAACAATTTTAATGGCTTTTAAATCTCCATGTCTTGAAATTTCGTTCGAAAAAAAAAGGAAAGGAAGAAGACAGATTATATAAAATTTATCTTACAAGTAATTTAAGTAAATAAAATATGTTATATATTTTACAAATAGTTATTTTCACATTCATTGAAATTATTTCGTCACAAAAAATTTAAAAAAAAAAATAAAAATAAACTTTATAATTGATTTATTTTTTTTAGAAAAGAAATCAATTTTTTTTTTTTGAAAAATACAATTTTCTTTTTAAATGGGAAAAATATGAGCATTTTTTTTTAGAATTAAATTCAAATTATAACAACAAATTTTGAAATAAAAGAATGGAAAATGAATGATATTTGTAATTAAAAAATTTTATTCTATTTTAAGCATATTAAATTAAATTATACTTAAATAGATCTTTTTTTTTATTGTTTGTTTCTTTTTTCATCTGTTTCTTTCTTTTTTTTTTTTTTTTTCAGGGTTGGGTAGCACGTTTTGTACGACGTAATAATATTACTCTTCAAGTGACCAATTCCACTTCAACAATTGCGCCAAAATTGATAAATAAAAATGGTAATATTAGCGATGATTTGATAAATCGAACTGATAATACTAATGCAATATGTTGTTGTAGTACTTCATCTAATATAGTCAAAAATTCCTCTTGCATATTATCATCATCTACAACATCTTTAATATCGGATGTAATTGTTGCAAATACTAATATGTATTGTTGCAATGATACTGTTAAAATGAATGCAACAACAACAACAACAACAACAACAACAACAGCAACAACAATAAAAACAACACCGTTAATAGTATCAACAATAGCAGCAACAGCTACAATAGGTACCATTGCTACTAATAATGATACTATACTAACAAAAAAACGTCGTAAAAATTTTACACCAAAAAAAATTGTCCCAAATGATATCATTTGTTTAACAGCTAACAATAGCATCACTGATAATATTGCTATAACTAATACCACAACAACAACAACAACATCATCATCAATAGTAACACCAACAGGTGAAATAATTTAGCATTAATATTTTCCTGTAGGATATAATTTCAGGAATATATTTCATACTTCAATAAATTATTTATAGGATCATAAATATTGCATATCAATGATTGCAAGTTTAAATTGTAAATACTATATGTAAGTATTAGTAATTTAAAATTAAATCATATATACTTTGTAAGTACCTATTGATTAAAAGTTGAAATGATGATAAATACTGTAAAAATGAAATAACTAATTAGAAATTGAATCATACATACATGTGATAAGTATCAATAATTAAAAATTTCAATAATAGATAATTAAACTTAAAAAAAGAAAATTGCAAAATCCATTTCTCTTTTCTTTTTCTTCTTCTATTCTTATGCCCTTCTCTTCTTTTTTTTTTTTTTTTGGTTCATTTTAAATTTATTTAGAAGGTTTTTAAAATTGAATTTTTAAAAGAACATTTTAGAATTAATATTTAAACAGAAAAGAATTTGCCTTGCATGATTACTATCTAATTATTTTTTTTTTCCTATCATATGATACTTTTTTTTTTCATCTTTTTCTTTTAGCAATTCAGTTTAAAGCATTATTTATTATTAATTAAAGTTTTCCAAAAATTATAGTCATTTTTCTTTTCTTTTCTTTTTCGCTCCTTTTTTTTTTTTTTTTTTTTTTTTTATTAACATAAAAATTAATATTAAAAAATACTATTATTAGTTTAATTTAATAATTCCCATACTTTTTCTATTTTAATACTCTAAATTTATTTACATAATTTTCAATCGTTTGATTCAAATTTGCTTTCATTTTATTTATTTTCTTTTTTTGATCTAAGTCAATTTCTTGCCTTGTTTTTGTTTTTTATCAGGAAAATGTGATACGTCTTTTTTTTTTTTTCTCTTTCCCATCCTTTCTATTTTTTTTTTCTCTTTCTCCTTCCCACTGTCTTTCTTTTTTTTTTTTAAAAAAAAAAAAAAAAGAAAATTCAATTATTCATTAAAAAATTAATTATTTCACATACACACACACACACAAAAAAAAAAAAAAGAAGGAAGGAAGGAAAAAAAAGTAGGAAAATAGAAAAAAAAAAAAAAAAAGTTTGAAAATTTAATATTAATAGACGGAACAAGAAATAGGATGACATTTCCAATTAAAGTATTGTACTATTTTCATTTTTTTTTTTTTTAAACAGTATTTGAAAAAGAAAGAAGAAAAAAAAAAAAGATATTTTCAAGGGAGAATTTACTCGATTTCTTTTTTCTTTTCTAAAATTCAATTTTACTTTTTTTTTTTTTTTTTCTTTATCTAAAAAAAGTAAAATAAAAAAAAGAAACGAAAAGTTAACGAAAAATTAATCATTCAAAATTAATTTGTAAAATTTCGGATTTTCTTCTTTCTTTTTTTTTTTTTTTTAAATTTTTTTATTTTTTAAAATTTCAAATTTTAATTAATGAAAAAAAAAAAAAAAAAATTGGTTATACATAGATTGTTTACATGAATTGAATTGTTTACATGTATTTTTTTCATTCATTCATTTTATCTGCAGCTTTCATCTATTTACGTTCTCAACAAATTTACACACCTCGTGATAAAATTTATCCCGGTTGGTGTCGTTTCTTTTAATCCGGTTGATATCAATATTGCCTTTTTTTTTTTTCCTGATTGCTAAAAAATTCTTTTTTATTTTTTTTTTTTTTTTTTTTTTTGCATTACAATTTATTTTCTGACTGTGATAAATTCATCCGGTTAAATTTGATATTTCAATTTTTTCATTTGATAGTACGTACCATAGTGCCTTTTTTAAATTGTCAAAAAAAAAAAAAGAGAAAAGCAGATTATTTTTTATTTTTTTTGATTTTTTTTTTCTCTTTTTTATTAGTTGAATAAATTTTTTGCAACTTTTATCAAATGATAATATTATCATTCGATCATCAAACGTACGAATTAATACAAAGAGGTATTATATATATATATATATTGTATACTCGATAAAAGATGGAATGTTTCTTCAATATTTACTTAAAAAAAAAAATAATAATTCTAAATGTCTCTTTTTTTTTTTTAATTTTAAATTAATAAATATATTTGATTTTTAAAAATTATTTATTTTAATTTATTCATAATTTTATTTTGCATTATTTTGTAAACAATTGCAAAACATTCCATCTTCTCTTATTTGTTTATTTATTTATTCTTGTATTATTATTTATTAATGATATAATTTATTTATCCTTTTTTTGCATATACAAATTTCAAATTTATGCCTTTTAATGCTCAGTTATTTTAATAAGAATACTATAGCTTTTTTTTTTTTTTTGTATTTTTCATTTGTTCTTTACTAGTAGTAATTTATTCCAATAATTAAATATAGCATTAAAAGAAAACAGAAAATATATATATTATTATATGAAATAAATCTTAACTTAAATTTATTTTTAAATCTAAATTTAGTTATAACTAAATTTAAAAAATTTTTACCTACAAAAATGTTACATTTTTTAATTATATTTGAAAATGAAATTAATGGTGTGAAATTCTGAAAGTAAAATTTACTTAGAAATTATTAATTTTTATTTAAAAAGAAAAAATATTCACACTCTTTTACAAAATTTTATATGAATTGTATTGGTGATATTCAATTTTTTTTTTTTTTTTTTTTTCATTGATATTAATTAATTCTTTTTAGTTTGGGCTAATTAATCTTATTTTACAACAATCATTGTAATACTTAGTAATTCATAATTGCTTCATTTTTTTTTTTCTTTTTTTGCTAATTATAATTTAAATTTTATCATTTGTATATAATATAAATGCAAAATATTTGAGATATAAAAAAAGGTGAAAAAAAAATTTTTTTTTTTTTTTATTAATTGATTAATTAGCTCAAATATAAACACTCTACTGCTTGATATCTTATTGATTAATAATTGATTCTTTCTTTTTAGTGTTTTTTTTTCCATTTTTTATTTTTTGCTTTTAATTTTTTGCATTGAAAACCGGTTATATGATTGTTAAATTCTGAATTTAAAATGATTATAAAAGATTTTGAATTTATTCTCTTGCATGTATATCAATGATAGTATTGAAGTAGTAGTAGTAGTAGTAATTAGTTAATTAGTAATTCGATAAATGTCAATAAATGATATTTGATTACAATGAATGCTTTTTCCGTATTTTTGTTTTTCAGGATAAATGCTATTGATTGAATGGTTGCTGTTCCAAAAATAACCGTTTTTCCGGTTATTGCATTCAGTTTTTATAAAATTTGCACTATTTTATTGAATTGCTTAAGAAGTTCTGAAATATTTTGCAGTGCTAAAGTGACACTTTTATTTTTTAATCAATATTATATTATTAAAATTTGAAAATTTTAAAAATTTATTAAAAGTAAATTATATCTAAGTAAGTTATTGATCAATCGATGTATTTAGTAATTTCATATTAAACTATAATTATGGAGTTGATTTTAACCTAAAAAATATAAAAGTATGACCTGAGAGTATGATATGATAACATTGAAATATCTCATTTATTCCGCATCATATATACCTATTAAAATTATCTTTGAAATTTTAGAACAGAAACAATTCATCAATTAAATATATTATGAGGTTTCAAATTAATTATTTCTTTCACACAGAAAATAAAAATCAAAACTTAAATATTTAATTAAAAAATTGAAATGACATGATGCATGACTATTTCTGGATGAAATACTTGAAATTCTCTGTTAAAAGTGATAGAAGGAAAAAAAATTACATATGAATTTTCAGAAATTTTAATTAAAATTGAACTATCGCACTTCAGTAATGTGATAAAAACTTCAAAATATGGAATCCTTTTTTTTTTTAATTTTAATTTTCGAAAAGAAAAATTTTTTTTTATAATTTATTTTGAATGGTTCCATTTTTTCCTATTTTTTTTTTAGTAACAGTGATCAATCAATCAACTGATTAACTGATTGATTGGTTGATTGATTGATTGATTAGCCAATTGAATAATTAAATTAACCTGATACCGAATAAAATATAAGCAGTAAAATTAAGCAACAATATCATAATTTTTTCCTTACTATACTACTGATAACAATACTTCAGCTATTGATCAATTGATTGATTAACTGATTGATTGATTAGATCGATATTACTAAGTAATTAAATAGGATATAAAATTAAATTTATTACGCACCATGAAGTAATTATAAATTTTAATTTCAACTAATAGCTTTTAACTTGTAACATAATATTATTTGAACAATTTATTTGCTCAACATTTTACATTTGATAAATTTTATATAAACAATAAAATTTTTACTATTGATTTGCTGGCCATAAATTCTTTATGCAAATATTTGCATATTTATGAAATGCTAACACATTTATCATTTTCAAAAATTTTTAAAAGTATCAACAAATGCTTAAAACTATTGAAAATTTTCATTGCAAATGCATGTAATATGATCAAATTTTCATTTTTGCCTTTTTTTTTTTTCATTCAAATTTTTTAACTTAAAAATTTCTTTTTCCTTTTTTCGTATTTCTTTTAAATAAATGAATTTCAATAGTAAAATGCATCATGCATTATTCCTAATCCGGAATTTTACCTGAATCTGAATCCGATATTTTCGGCTTTTTAGTCTTTTTTCTTTGCAATTTAATCATTTTTGTTCAAAAACAAAAATCACTGATAAGTGATAAATAAAATGCGCTTGTTAAAATTTTTTAAAAAAAAAAAAATTATCAAACTTTAAATATTTTGGTTAAATATTCCAAAATTATTAATACATAAAATGTATTTAATCCTTTTTCATCATTTCATACATTTTTTTGTTTAATTAAAATTTCATTATTTTAATTTAGCTTTATTTAATAATCAGTCTTTTTTTTTTCATTCTTCACTATTATTATTTCTAAAAGTTGAAAATTTAGTATTAATTGATAATTCAATTAGTTGATCGAAAATTTTTAAATATATAAAATTTAAATTAAAAACAATTAATTTGAATTTATAGTAATTAAAGATTTATTTTTT